GGGTCGGCGGGGCCTAGACAAGGGAGGCGGTGCGGCGACGAACCACCCACTGGCCGCCGGCTGGGCAGCGAGGGGCGCGTCCGAAGGCACAAAAGGTGGGGCAAGGACCGGTGGGGGAGCCTCAGCGGGCAGATGCTGCCCTGGCGTGGGCGAGGCAGGCACTGTGGCAGGAACAGCCGCGGCCGGGACGGTGGAAGCGGCCGGGTGGGGAGCCGAAGCCATCAGGCCAGAATACCACTGGACAAACTCAGGATCCCAACCGGGTTGCCACGGCAAACGACACAATGCACAGGAGACGTGGGTCATATGGGTGCGCATTTGAGCAACACACGCTGCATGGTAGACATGACGGCAGCCAGGCCAAAAGCACGCGCTGTTTTCGCCCACGCCGTGGGGAAGGACGGGTTCCAGGCACGCCGGGCAATTGTCCCCCGGTGGATCGGCTGGTAGCCCCGGTGACTTCTCCACTAGGTGCTGGGCAGCAGGCACCGGGCACGGGGGAAGGTGATCGCACAGGAACGGTGGAGCCGATCCCCCACCTTCTGCTCACGCTTTGGACCACGCTGGCCCCACCCTCCGCGGGTGGCAGTCCCCCGCCGCCGAGGCCGTCTCCCGGCAGCTGCAAGGTGAGGTCCTCGCCCAGACGGACCCGGCTTCTCAGGCACTTTTGTTTTCGCAAATTGGCCCCTACAGTAGCCGTGTTTTCACCAGCGTGCCGAGCTGCCCGGAGCTTGCCTACTCTCCTGCGCTGCTCCGCGTGTTTTTTTTTTGCGGCGCTTGCGCCTGCCTTTGCCCTTTACCGCCCGCAGCTGCCGGTGCGATCGCCTTCTCGACCCTCTTGGCGACCATCGTGCAGCTTGCCCCCGGTCAGGTGCCCTGCGCAGTCGCGGCTGCCCTCTCGAGCGCGCTGCTGCGCGGATTTGCCGCGAGGCCGGCGCACGCGTCACAACCAACACCCTTGTACGCGATGTGAATGCCCTGTCGACCGCCTGGACGACAGGCGCATTGCCCCGGTGGAGCGGAGCCCAGCTTGCAGTCGACACGACCATCGTGTCGCCATTCACTTGCGATGCCGTTTTGGGTTCCCGCCGTGACTTGGCGCGGCCCGTTGCTTTGCTTGACGCGCGGCGTAAGAAGGAGCGGACCTACCCCGGGCTCCTCCGGTCCTCCCGGTGCCGCATGGTCGTCCTTGGGGTCGAGGTTGGTGGCCGATGGAGCTCCGAGACTGCCGACTTCTTGCGGCAGCTTGCCCGGGCCAAAGCCAGAAACACCCCTCCGACCTTGCGTATTGCCTACCAGGCCGCCCTCGTCCACCGCTGGTCTGGCTTCTTGACTGCTGCTGCCATGCAGGCCTTTGCTGCCAGCTTGTCTGCCTTGCCTTCCGCTGGCTTGTCTTGCCTGGACGGCCCTGCGCCCGCTTTCAGTGACGTGCTTGCCGACCGCACCGGCCCCGTTCTTGAGGTGCTCGCCAGCCGTCTTTCCGCTCACGCTTAACCCGCACGGACTTGAACGTGCGTGTCGACAGCCTTGATGACAGGCGCATCGAGGTTGTCGCCAATGGCCTTCCTCTCTGGGGGGGGGTGCAGCTTGCGGTTGGCACGAAGCCGGCCACGCGCGGGTTTACCAGCGCCGCGCCGAGGGAGCCTACCGTGACATCCTTTCGTCTCATCGCTGCCGCCTTGTCGTTGTCGGACTTGAAGTTGGTGGCCGCTGGAGCGCTGAGGCCGCACGCTTGCCCGGGCCCGCCTCATGTGCCGCAGCATACCGCGCCCGGTGGTCGGCCCTCATTTCTTTCGCCGCCGCGGGCGTATGCCACCAGCCTCCTTGCCCTGCCCGGAGCCGGCGCGCACACCAACGGCCGGGTTCGAGGGATTGTGGTCAGTGACTTTTTGCGGCGCCTGGTTGCCCGTTCCTTCGCGCAGCGCTTTGGTTTGTCCACGCGAGCTGGCGCTGAAGCAGTCGCCCACGCCTTGTCCTTCGCTACGTGGCGCAAAGCGTGCAACATGGCCTGGCGGCTGACGGTGTCAAAAGCGCCAATGCCATCGACAGACAACACAGTGGATCCGATTCGGCCAATGCCATGTTTGTTTTCGTCCGGCAATTCTACGCCTCTTGGTCGCGCTTCGTTTGGCATGATGCCCAGGGTGCGCCTCACTTGATCTCGCAAGCTGAAGGGGGGGAACAGGGCGATCCCTTGATGCCAGCCCTCCTTGCCCTTGCCCAGCGCGGCTGCAACCTGGAAAGCGGCTCCTTGCCTGCATGGATGATATGTATTCCGACACCTCGCCCGACCGTGTGCGCCCCGTGTTCGATGCCTTGTCTGCGCAGGATCCTCTTGCATGCTGGTAAGACACGTGTTTGGACTGTTTCTGGCGGGCACCAGGCAGCAGCAGCGACCCAGTGTGCTTGGCGACCCCACCCTGCCGGCAGGGGGCGCCGCTGGGCGGCCCAGAGCATGTTGCAAGCCATCCGCACCATCCCCGACCTTCAGTGTGCCTGGTTGCTGCTTTTCCCCCTCGCTGCGGCCATGTATGCCGCCCCCTTGCTTGACAGCAACTTTCGGGGCCTCGCGCGACGAGGCTGTGTTATGTTGTCTGTCCGACCTCCTTGGTGTGGCCCCTTTGCCTGGGCTTGCGGCCCTGCCCTTCCATGAGGGCGGCCTCGGCTTGCGCAGTGCCGTGTCCCTCCCCCGCGGCGTTTTGGGGTTCCTGGGCTGACGTGCTGCCAGTCCTACACAGCCAATTGCCCGACTTGGTGGCTGCCATCCTGCAAAGGCCGGCATAGCGGCGTGGGACAGGAGTGCGGACGACGAGGAATGAGCATGTCTTGCACGCCCTTGTGTGTGCAGTGAAGCTGGGGCCCAGGTGACCACCAGCACTTGCTTGGCCGACCTGAGCCTTGTTGGTTGACCACGTTGTTTTCCCACGCGCCATTTTCAGCTGCATGAGTCGATTCGATGCCCCCGGGGGCCCCCGGGCACGAGGCGTAATCACACAACGGCTGACGCATCGAAGTCATACCTAATGGCTTGCCTTTGTGGAACGGGGCCCAGCTTGCTGTTGACACGACCATCGTTTCGCCCCTCACGCGCGATGCCGTTCCGCGCTCGCGCCATGACCTGGCACGGCCCGTCGCTTTGAGTGATGCCCGGTGTCAGAAGGAGCGGACTTACCCCGAGCTTTTTCCGCTTGGTCGTGCTTGGTGTTGAGGTCGGTGGGCGATGGAGCTCCGAGACTGCCAACTTCCTGCGTTGCCTGGCCAAGGCCAGAGACTTTTGCGCCCTTGCGCCTGGCCTACCAAGCTGCCCTGGTTCACTGATGGTCTGACTTCTTGATGCATGCCTTTGCTGCCAGCTTGTCCACCTTGCCTTCGGCCGGCCTGTCTTGCCTTGATGGCCCGGACTCATGGTTAGTGACGTGCTTGCCGACCGCATTGAAACGGTGTGCGGCGATTTTTTCCATCTGGCGGAGAGCGATTTGCTTGCCGATGTCAGGTGGGAGAACGGGCCGGCGCCGAGCCGCCTGCCCACTTGAGCCCGGGCCGTTGTGTTTCACCTCGTGCCGTGTTTGTTTGGCAGTCGTTGAAGCGCTGTGCCCAGTTCGAGTCGGAGTCTGAGACCCATTTTTTCTTCCCCCGGCAACGAGGCCACATTGCAAGAGCTTCGTGATCCGGCGCGTCGGTCGCCGGAGGCCGACGAACTAAAAAACAGTCCATGTTGAGCCTCCCGCTTTGCCGGCCAGAAAGGCTCCTCGCCCGTCCGGCCACAGCCGCGCTCCTGCGTCGCTCCCATCCAGAAAGTGTGCTTCCTGGCGCTGACGCATGCTTTTTCGAAAAGAAGGAATGAAGGAAGGAACGGAAGGAAACGATGGAAAGGAAAGAAAAGGAAAGGAAAGGAAAGGAAAGGGAAGGGAAGGGAAGGGAAGGGAAGGAAAGGAAAGGAACAAGCTTTCTTTCTTCTTTCTTCTTTCTTTCTTTCTTTCTTTCTTTCTGTCTTTCTGTCTTTCTTTCTTACTACGGCGAAGTGGTCAGCTTTCCTTTCAAGTTCCCTGTATGGAAGCTTCCAATTTGGAATCCTTCCTCTCCAGTCCTGAACTGGTCAGCTTTCCTTTCAAGTTCCCTGTATGGAAGCTTCCAATTTCGAATCCTTCCTCTCCAGTCCTGAACTGGTCAGCTTTCCTTTCAAGTTCCCTGTATGGAAGCTTCCAATTTGGAATCCTTCCTCTCCAGTCCTGAACTGGTCAGCTTTCCTTTCAAGTTCCCTGTATGGAAGCTTCCAATTTGGAATCCTTCCTCTCCAGTCCTGAACTGGTCAGCTTTCCTTTGAACTTCCCCGTATGGAAGCTTCCAATTTGGAATCCTTCCTCTCCAGTCCTGGACTGGTCAGCTTCAGCTTTCCTTTCAGATTCCTTTTGTGGAACTTTGGAAGCTTTTTTGTGTATATGTTCTCTCTGGGTGCTTAAAGGGGCCTGTGCACCTATTTTGGTGTGGAACTGTCCTCCATTTTGGAAAATAGGTTTCATACCAGATCTGAACTGGTCAGCTTTCCTTTCAAGTTCCCTGTATGGAAGCTTCCAATTTGGAATCCTTCCTCTCCAGTCCTGAACTGGTCAGCTTTCCTTTCAAGTTCCCCTGGTGCTTTCCTTTCAGATTCCTTTTGTGGAAGCTTCCAATTTGGAATCCTTCCTCTCCAGTCCTGAACTGGTCAGCTTTCCTTTCAAGTTCCCTGTATGGAAGCTTCCAATTTGGAATCCTTCCTCTCCAGTCCTGAACTGGTCAGCTTTCCTTTCAAGTTCCCTGTGTGGAAGCTGGTCAGCTTTCCTTTCAGATTCCTTTTGTGGAAGCTTCCAATTTGGAAGCTTTTTTGTGTATATGTTCTCTCTGGGTGCTTAAAGGGGCCTGTGCACCTATTTTGGTGTGGAACTGCCGCACACGGTGCATGTCATATTTCCCAGAATCTGTGGGCGATTATCACCCCTGACCGCGACATTTACGAGGAGGAGATGTCGCCCGGAAATGGAGACTTCGTGGACTTCACTTACGGTGGCGGAGGGCTTGCCGGTGGCATTCCCCCTAAAATTAACCCTGCTCATGTGTACGGATTCGGGGTGATGTCGGCCGCGGAGTATCAGCAGCTGATGGCTCAGGCAAGGATCTACGCTGCTGCCATCAGAGTTTCTATGGGGCTCCGGGCTGTGCCAGACCCGCCTGTTCAAGGGCAGGGTAGACTGGCCAACGCGGTCCCCAATGAGCCTGAGGTATGGGTCAGCATAGAGAATGAGCCGCCGTATCTGGCAGGTCAAGTAGTGGTGCAAGCCGGTCAACTGCTGCCCCCTGGCCACGTGGTTCTGGGCACAGACAAGGCCTTGTTACCAAATGGGTCCTCAGCTGTGGCAGTCAAGAAGATTAAGCTGGCGGATTTGGGAGGCTTTGCCGCCCGTGATTTGCGAGTCCTGCCCGTCAAGTTCGACTCTGCTGGTGTCCGCCGGAGAGATTTTTTGGATGCCGTGACCAGCATGACCCAGGACAAGATGCCAGGCGGCGGGCTGCAACTTGAAGGTCCGCCCACGACTTTGGAAGTCCTGAAGTCGCTGGCCAGCCGCAGCCTGACTCCTGTGACTGATCATGAGAGATGGATCCGCAGCAGCGAGATTTCCAAATGCGACCAATCCATTTATGAAATGGAAGTGTTGGCACGTGTCATCGAGGCCTTTGTCATGGTTGACCAAGTCAACCTGCCAAATTTGAAAGGACGAGAGTTGTTGCTTCGCAGATGGCAACTCATCAAAGAAGCGCACAGGATCTGCCCCACGCAGCCAGACTACTCGGCTTCTGACCATTTCATGGGATGGGAGTTGGACAGCGGGGTTGTTCAATCTCTCACCAAGCATGTGTCGGAGCAGTTGCGTGATCAGGCTGCAATTGCAAAGGAATCCCGGAAGGCGAAGGAAGAGCTTTCATACCGCAACCAGCACGGCGGGGGCAAAGCCCGAGGCCGAGGCCGAGGCAAGAATGCCCCTGCCGATGATCCATGAGCTCTTCTGCTGTGCACTGCGCGGACCCCCGCAGTGCATGGGATGAGAAACCAAGGGGTGGGCAGGCAAGGCCCGCCTTTTTGTCCCCAACGCAAGATGTCAGACGGTCGCTGCCTTCCATTTCGACCTCGAGCATTTCTGCGGGCAGCGAGGAGCTGTCGGTGGGCGCTAAGCGCAGGGCAATCAAAAGAGCCAACAATGTCCTCAGAGCCAATGATGTCATTGGAGCCCTCAATGAGATGGCCGGGCATGGTGCGGCGCCGCCGGCAAAGCCTTCGAAGGCGCAGAAGTGTGCTCAACATCAGCTTTTGTGTCAAGTAGCTCGATCTCCCAAATCAGCTACTCATGTACAGTTGCGTGAGGCCGTTCATGAGCTTCTGCATCTTGGCCTCTCCCCTTATGTGACGGAGGAGGAGGCTCGAAGCACAGTGCGATCTTACAGAGATCCCTCCTAGCAAGGTTAAACCTTATATGGATGAGGTGCTCCGTTCAAGTTCCACTGCGTATCATGATTTTGTGCTGGACCTCTGGGGTAGAGGGATGCTCACATTTGGCAAAGTCAGCAAGGCCACCATCACGCCCTTTTTCGTGGCCAAGAAGAACGGACGGCTCCGTATGGTGTTGGATTGTAGACTTGCAAACACTTTTTTCAAGCCCCCTCCCGACATTGCGATGGCTGCAGGATACTCTTTCGGGCAGCTCACTGTCAACGAGGGTGAGCAAGTGTACGTTGCTCAGTCCGATATCAAGGATTACTTCTATTCCATTGGATTGCCGTCGTATTTGCACCCATATTTCAGTTTGCCACCAATTAAGCCGGGGGCCCTTTCAAAAAGCATCCCAGAGCTCGCAGACGCGGACCCCTCGCAGTTGGTCTTCCCGCAGATGACAGTGGTACCCATGGGCTGGTCTTGGGCGATGTTTTTTGCGCAGCGTATTCATCAGCACCAGGTCATGCTCGGCGCGGGCGTTGGGGCCGACCAGATCCTGGTCGACGGCAGGCCAGCTCCGAGCTTGAGCAGTGGTCAGCCTATCATTGTCCCATACGCTGACAACTTGAATGTGCTGGGAACAAATCAACACGCTGTGCAAGAAATCAAAGACAAGGCTGTGGCCCGCCTCCGTCAGGTCGGCTTCCGTATCCACGAAGAGGAGGACGCGTCCACGCGTGCCAAGGCTCTCGGTTTCATGATTGATGGCAAGCGGTGCCGAGTCACCCGTGTGCCTGAAAAACGCGACAAGGTGATTTTGGCTCTCAAGTGGCTGTCTGCACGACCGACGGTGTCAGGCCGGGTTATTGAGCGTATTGTCGGCCATTGCGTACATTTTTCATGCTGCGGCGGGAGTTTCTGTCAGTTTTTCGTTCAGTGTATGACTTCAAATCTGCACATTACTGCACAAAAAAGCGCCTGTGGAGGACCGCTGCTGATGAGTGCAGATGGGCAGCAAATTTGCTTTTGGTGTGCGAGTCTGACATGGCAAAGCCGTGGAGCGATCAAATTTCAGTGTCCGATGCTTGTTTAACTGGAACTGCTACGTGTGCAATGCAGATTGACCCTTCTATTGCGCAAGCTATCGGGCAGGGGCGTGAGCTTTGGAGATACAGAAGTTCGTTGCCAGCTGTGAAAGCGCGTGAGCTTGTGCAGTCCTTGGACCCGTTTCGGGATGTCAAGACTGTGCTGCCAAAAAGAATCTTTGAGGATCCTTTTCAGCTCAACTCTGAGTTTGAGAACGTTCCTGAACATATTGCGCGGGCAAGCCAGTGGAAGTTGCAATTTGCATCCCGTGTGATTTTCAAAGCATATTACACTGCTGGAAGGCAGGGCTACAGTGCAAGCAATCAGGCATAAGGCTCGCTCCATAAAGCATTTCAACCAAAGGCATGTGCATCTTGGTGACAATTTAGGCATGGTCTTGGCTTTTGACAGAGGTAGGGCAAAATCTCCGCAGCTCCTTTTCTGTTGCCGGAAAGCAGCCGCTTACAAATAGCATTGTTCACCACCGTTGGGTGCCATCTGAATGGAATGCAGCCGATGGCCCATCGCGGCAGTGGGAAAGCCAAGCCACTGACACTGGCCCCAGCAAGAGGAGCAAGAAAAAGGCCCTCGACCAGATCCCCTACCCCAGCACCAGAGAAAAGAAGCAGGCAATCCAGCAGCACTTCCGAGACAGTGTCGGTAGTGCAGGCGCTCAAGGATGCTGCGGCCCGGGAGTCCGTGCCCTTGCACTCCATGAGCATGGGCGAGATCCGACAGAATGTTCAGGCAAGGACCGCGGGGGAGCGCCAGAAGAAACGCGCTTCCTTGCAACTGGAGGCGCCCATGCCGCCTCGGTTCACCGGCCAGACGCAGCTGGAGATTTTGTCAGTCTCGCCAAAGACCGCGACAGACTACCGCCGCCGGGTCATGGTGTTGCAAGGCTTCTGCAGGATACAGGGGCTTCGGGCGAACACCGCCTAGCAACAAACAATCAGGACCTAGTGCAGTCTCGCCACTTAGGCATGTCGTGGGCGATCAACCTGAACAATTCAGAGTCCATGAGCATGTCCAAGACGGGCGTCTCGGACGAGTCAATTTTGCTGGACACCCCTTTTCTCAGATATCTCGGACCGGCTCTGCAACACTTCAAGACGGGCAGCCCGCTCCAGCCCCTGTTTGCGTGCAGCTACGCAGACGTGCTGAAAGCGTGGAAGCAGTCGTTAGTGAGTTTAGGGCTCAGTCCGGACCTTGCAGTGATTTATCAGCTTTGGCACTCAGGAGCTTCCTGGGACAAGAAACTGAGGTCGCTGCTGGAAATTAAGCTTCGGGGCCGGTGGGCATCCGATGCTTCCCTGAAAAGGTACGAAAGCCACGCGAAGGTGGCCCAGCTATTTGAGAAGCTGCCGCCAGCTACGAAGAAGCGAGCAGAGGCATCTCCGCCGATGCTAGAGGCGATGGTTACTGCAGTCCTGGGCGGGCCAAGCTGACAAGCTTGAAGCGTGTTCTGGGCTAGAAAGGACGGTTTTCTTCACTTTGATGGCCCAACCGCATCTTGCGCTTGGTCCAGAATACTCCATGGGTCGGGTGTGGGATTACATCATGATGTGTGGAAAGCACCGTTTTTTTTGTCAGCCAGGACTTCGCCCGGCTGCACGCACAGGTTGCTTCCTGACTTTGTTCCTTTTTACCGAAGGCTCATGGGAAAATGGAACTGCGGAAGTATGCTGGCATGGAGGGGCCTGCATCGTGGATCATTCTCTTTCTCTTTCTCTTTCTCTTTCTCTTTCTCTTTCTCTTTCTCTTTCTCTTTCTCTTTCTCTTTCTCTTTCTCTTTCTCTTTCTCTTTCTTTCTCTTTCTCATTTTTTCTCTTTATTTCTTTCTTTCTTTTTCTTTCTTTCTTTTTTTTGTTTCTTTCTATCTCTTTCTTTCTCATTCTTTCTCTTTCTCTTTCTCTTTTTATTCTCTTTCTTTCTGTCTCTTTCTTTCTCTTTCTATTTCTTTCTTTTTTTCTTTCTTTTTCTATTTTTTTGTTTCTTTCTTTCTCATTCTTTCTCATTCTTCCTCATTCTTTCTCTTTTTTTCTCTTTCTTTCTCTTTCTTTCTCTTTCTTTCTTTCTCTTTCTTTCTTTCTCTTTCTTTCTTTCTTTCTTTCTTTCTTTCTTTCTTTCTTTCTTTCTTTTTTCTTTTCTTGTCAGTTCCTTGCTTTTCTCTTCTTCTTCTTCTTTCTTTTTCTTTCTTTTCTTTTGTTTTTCTTCATTTTCTGTTCTTTTCTTTTCTCTCCTTTCCTTTCCTGTCCTTTCCTCCCATTCCTCCCTTCCTTCCCTTTGAAAGAGAGGAAGAAGAGAGAGAGAAAGAGAGAAAGAGAGAAAGAGAGAAAGAGAGAAAGAGAGAAAGAGAGAAAGAGAGAAAGAGAGAAAGAGAGAAAGAGAGAAAGAGAGAGAAGGAAAGAGAGACAGACAGAGACAGAGAGAGACAGAGAGAGAGACAGAGAGAGACAGAGGGAGACAGAGGGAGACAGAGGGAGACAGAGAGAGACGGGGGAGAAAAGGAGAGAAAGAGAGAGAGAGACAGAGAGAGAAGGAGAGAAAAGGAGAAAGAGACAGAGAGAGTTTGAGAGAGAGAGAGAGACAGAGTGAGAGAGTGAGAGGGTGAGAGAGCGAGATGAGAGAGTGAGAGAGTGAGAGAGTGAGAGAGTGAGAGAGTGAGAGAGTGAGAGAGTGAGAGAGGGAAAGATTGAGAGAGGGAGAGAGGGAGAGAGGAAAATGAAAGAGAAGAGATAGGAGAAAGAAGCCAATGAAGCACAAAGAGAGAGATATATATATATATATAGAGAGAGAGAGAGTGAGGAAGTGAGAGAATCGTTTGGGTGTGTTTTTTGCATCTTGATTCAACATATGGTTGCATGTTTATCTTTTTCATGTCCAAAAGACTTCAAAAACTATGGCAGCAACTTGGCACATTTCTTGCATTTTGCACACGGTCAGAGATGCTGGACGAAACATATTGCCTTTCTAGGGTTGTGCGGGGGCGTGGTCACTTTCAACAGTGGTGCATGCCCGCTCCCCGCAGCACTTGGCCCATACCACCCATCATGCAAAGATGAACGTGGCGGCATGCCTCGGGGTGGTCAGCAAAGTCTTTGGATCCAGCGCTGTGCATCAAGCTAGACACGAACATATCCATGGTACGGAAGGTTTCAAGCTACCGTTGTTACGCATTTATTGGTATCTTGCCCATGTTTCTGCCAGAATGCCCCGCTCGCTCCACAGACGGCCGTCTTGCACAGATCGTTGCCAGGACTTTGCTGCAACATTTTGCGGGATGGGTTTCGATTTTCCAGAGGTTCTCTGAGGGATTCAATCCTAGTTCACAATCCCTGCCCTTCAAGCAGAGCTGATTGAGTCGGGATTCTGTTTTTCTTGAGGCTTTGTGGGCAGATGGCGAAGTGCGTAACTGCACCCACTGCTCCACCAGGCTTGCTTTCGCTCCGCAAAGCGTAGCTTGCAGCACACGTGTCAGGTCGCCGAGACGCAAGGTCAAAGCACCTTCCTCTTGGACCTCGTGCTAGGCGCGTGCGTGTTGGGGGCTTTGCCGTGCAATTGCATTTCTCTGAGGCAACCTCAGCCTGCTGCCCCTGCACGTCCGCAGGCGAGTCGGGCGCATGACAAAATATTTTGTTTGAAAAACGTGTGACTACAAGGACGAAAGGGCAAGCGCGACATGCTTGGCCGGCAAGTGTGGCACTGAGCATAGCCATGTTTTCCATGCTGACCTGGCTGCCTGGATGGCAAGGTGTGATACATTATTCGCGGCTGGTGGGCATGACAAATTTGGCAACGGCCAGTAGCTGAGTTGCGGGTCATGTTGGCCAATGGCGACATGCCTATCATGATTGGCAGCTGTCATGGATTTGGCAATTTTTGCATGACGTCCACGACTTTATTGTCTGCCGCTCGCGCCATTGTCAAAACATTGCACTTCTGGGATGGTGAGTTGGGATGGCGGGAAACTTTCGCTTCGGACTCATTAATGGAACCCCTGCCAGCCAGAACCAGGTTAAGTCACCCTTGGTTCCCATCCCTGACCAAGGCCATTCAGCAGGCGATGTGCGGTTTCAGCCTGATGGAAGCGATGCAGATTGGTTGGCTGAGCCAACGCAAGCCCGGGTCTTGGCACTGGCGTCCTGTTTGTCAGGCTGATTTTGTGGCTCATGCCGGTCTGTGTTTCAACAGGGGGGCATCAAAATTGTGTGGTTTTCCTAAAAGTGTCCTCAACAAGGGTGCCCCTCAAAACAACACTCCCGCGGCAAGGACTGCTCCCCAAGATGCAGCAGCGCGCGCTCGCAGAAGGTGGGACCTGCGTAGGGGCGACGTGGGAATATGCAAACAACACATGGGCTGGGGTCGGTTGCAGGGGGCCACGATGCAGGAGTCGCGCTTTGCGGATGTCCAAGGGACATTGGAGGAATTGGACGAGGAGATCCCATGGACCTAAGCCCTGACAATACTGAAGTAGTGCGGGCCTCCCATGAAGGGTCACGTGCCTCGAGCAGCAGCCATGTTGGGACCCATGTTTGCGCATGACAGAACTTTGGACGCTATGGTTGCATTGTTGAGTGTGCAACGGCGGCCCCCCCCCCCCCCGGTTTTCTGCGGAGTTTGCACAGCCAGGAAGTCCCGGAAGTGGATGAAGACGAGGATGAGGGGTGGAGCGTGAACAAGCCACTCTGGACCTGGCGTGCTGAAGGCGCAGCGTGTTGACCGCCGCGTCTGCAAGTTGGAAGGTTGTAAGGTTTTTTTGCCCAACAAAGAAACACCAGCTTAATAGGTGCATCCGCGATTGAATCCAAGCAGGAAATGGAAGCATTGTGCACTTATGTAGCCGTCCTGCTTTTGGATCCGGTTGCGCTACGTGCAACCAAACCCTGCTTCGATTTGCAAGGCAACCGCCCCGCCAATCGGCCTCAGCGACCGCCAGCGCGCCATGGGCGAGGCCACCGGGATACTGATGCAGGTGATGGGGAGGTGATGGGGAGGTGATGGGAATGCTTTGCTTGGACGTTTTCGGATAGGCCCAATGCGCTTTTATGCGCAGATGTTTGTGTTTTGCCGTTGCTTGTCTCGCTTGCGGGCAGCGCGTGGTTGATTGCCTTGTCCAGGTGAGTTCAGCAACCTCGCGTGGCCCCATGGACCGCGGCGGCTGCCATTGGACCGGCCTCATTCCGCACAGCAGCACCCAGACCCCAAGTCTTTATGTAGGCCACCTCGGCCATCTTCAGCAAAGGCAGCACTTGCAGCTTCGAAGCCTGCGTCTCGCCCATCTTCAGCGAGACCTGACTCTGCCAGACCCACCTCGGCCCGACCTGCCAGACCAGCCTCGGCCCGACCTGTCAGACCTGCCTCAGCCAGGTCGACCAGACCAGCCTCAGCTGGCTCAGCCAGACCTGCCGCAGCCAGACCTGCTTCAGCCAGACCTGCAAGACCTGCCTCAGCCGGACCTGCAACACCCGCCTCAGCCGGACCTGCAAGACCTGCCTCGGCTGGGCCTGCAAGACCTGCCTCAGCCGGACCTGCAAGACCTGCCTTGGCTGGGCCTGCAAGACCTGCCTCGGCTGGGCCTTCCAGACCTGCCTCAGCGCGACCTTCCAGACCTGCCTCAGCTAGACCTGCCAGACCGGCTTCAGCCCCTCTATATTCTCGACCATCTTCAGCGCGTTCGCGGCCATCTTCTGCACGTTCACGGCCGTCCTCGGCAAGGCCAACTTCAGCGCGATCGCCTGAACGAGCAACTTGCGGCCAAGGACAAGCTATGCCAGCATGGGCTAGGCCTCAGTCAGCCCCTGCCAAAAGGATGGAGCCATCACTTGGTCCTTTCCAGATGCAGCTGGAGTACGCGGCTCCCCAGCCCGCAATGGGCGTGAGCATCCTATTTCAGCAACAAGAGTTCTTGGAGAAGGCCAACAGCGCTGGTCCTGTGAGCTTCGCAACGCAGATGCAGAGCTGGGTTGCATCCTATCAAAAGACCCGCATCCGCGCACGCATGGCGTGCCGACCTCTCTTTGGCGAAGGCTGGTGAATGGGGCCGCCTCTGTGTTTCAGTGGGTCGACTAGATTTGTGACGTGGCTTTTCTGTGCGTTTGTTCCATGAAGGCATTTTCACAAGCCCTGCGCAGAGGCAGCAAGACCACCCTGAGCTTTCCGAAGTCTTACGCCCCGGTGGGCCCACCGCTGGTGGTGCCTCCTGAGAGGGACCTGGATGCAGAGATACGCCAGCTTGAGATGGAGCTGGCAGGCGGGCAGCTCAATCAGCTCAGACCTCCAGTGGCGCTCTTGTTCTTTTCGTTTGAGGGTGTTCCCTTCAAAATTTGAAGAAAAGGCCCAATCTTTTCCCTTGGCCACCGGAGATCAAGAGTCCAGGCTTCTAGCGGCATGCCTTTTTCCCCCTCGGTGTGTGTGTGTGGTTGTGTGTGTGTGTGTGTCTCTGTGTGTGTCTCTGCGTGTGTCTTGTGTGTGTCTCTGCGTGTGTCTCTGTGTGTGTGTCTTTGTGTGTGTCTGTGTGTGTGTCTCTGTGTGTGTGTGTGTGTGTCTCTCTGTGTGTGTCTCTGTGTGTGCGTGTGTGTCTCTGTGTGTGTGTCTCTCTCTCTCTGTGTGTGTGTGTGTGTGAGTGTGTGTGTGTGTGTCTGTGTGTCTGTGTGTCTGTGTGTCTGTGTGTCTGTGTGTCTCTGTGTGCATGGCTCTGTGTGTGTGTGTGTCTCTCTGTGTGTGTCTCTCTGTGTGTGTGTGTCTCTGTGTGTCTCTGTCTGTGTGTCTCTGTGTGTGTGTGTGTCTCTGTGTGTGTGTGTGTGTCTCTGTGTGTGTGTGTCTCTGTGTGTGTGTCTCTGTGTGTGTGTGTGTGTGTGTGTGTGTGTCTGTCTCTGTGTGTGTGTGCAGAGCCTCGGAATACCCTGAGAATAAATGCAGGGGCGTGCAACACCTGTGACACACTGCACGCAATGAAGCTGCTGCCAAAGGTGGGAAGGGTGTCCAGACGTGGACACCTGCACCTGCAGTGAATCTGAAGGTGCTTTTGGCCCCCTTTTTTGCCGCTGTGTGTGCTTCTTGTTTGTCCTGGTGACGTTTTCGATTCTAGAGGGAAGCCATCGGTCGGAAGCCAACTCGAAATGAAGCAGTCGAACCAGTATCTCCTCTCCTCTCTTGCACGCCACGCCCTCGAGGTCTCCCTTTCGGGAGAACACACTTTAATTCCCCAAGGGGTGGCTTGGTACATTCGTGTGCTCCGGTCCGCTTTGCGGAGTTCAGCAACCTCAGTTGTTTCACGGTAACCTCTGAGACATGAAGCTCAGAGATATGAACCTCAGTTGGGTGACCTTAGTTCGGTCGATGTGTTTATGTGGAAGTTTCACCTTCAAGTTCATCAAGGCGGGGTTACCTCCTGCGTCCACACGTAAAATTTCCTCCCCCCTCCCCCCTCCCCCTCCCCTTCCTCCTTTTTCTTCCCGCAGTTTGGCTTGACGTCCTCTACCTCTTCCGTTGACTCGTGCTGTACGTGCTCTTGGCCCCTTTGCGGGATGGCTTTTTCTTCTTGTTGGTCTTCTTCTTTCTTTCCATTGCCGTCACCACTACATCCTGGGTCCCTTCTTTTGCCTGTCCCTGTTCTTGTCCTTCGCCCGCTTAGGGCTGGCCTCCTCCTATTCCGGCTCTTCAACTTCGCGGCGGTCTTCTTCTTCCAGGTTTAGGTCGGTCTTGCGCTGTTTCGGGTTCTTGCCCTCGAAGATCCTTAAACCGGTGTCCCCGTTTTTCGTTTCTTGGTTGGGGTTTTGCCCCAACGTGGGGCTTTCTATTTCTTTGCTTTCTTGCTCCGTTTGTTTTCCCTTGGGGTCTTTGTCCGTCTTTCGGGCGCGTGTTTTTTAGGGTTGCTCCTCCCGTTGCCCCCTTCGAGAGGCGTGTGTGTGCAGAGTCTAAGAATATCTTGAGAATAAATGCAGGGGCGTGCAACACCTGTGACACACTGCACGCAATGAAGCTGCTGCCAAAGGTGGGAAGGGTGTCCAGACGTGGACACCTGCGCCTGCAGTGAATCTGAAGGTCCTTTTGGCCACCTTTTTTGCCGCTGTGTGTGCTTCTTGTTTGTCCTGGTAACGTTCTTTGATTCTAGAGGGAAGCCACCGGTCGGAAGCCAACTCGAAATGAAGCCGTCGAACCTGTATCTCCTCTCCCCTCTTGCACGACGTACACGAATGTACCAAACCACGCCTTGGGGTATTGAAGTGTGTCTCTGTGTGTGTGTGTGTCTCTGTGTGTGTGTGTCTCTGTGTGTGTCTCTGTGTGTGCGTCTCTGTGTGTGTGTCTCTGTGTGTGTGTGTCTCTGTGTGTGTGTCTCTCTGTGTGTGTGTGTCTCTGTGTGTGTCTCTGTGTGTGTCTCTCTGCGTGTGTCTCTCTGTGTGTCTCTCTGTGTGACTCTCTGTATGTCTCTCTGCGTGTGTCTCTGTGTGTCTCTGTGTGTCTCTGTGTGTCTCTGGGTGTCTCTGTGTGTCTCTGTGTCTCTGTGTCTGTGTGTCTCTGTGTCTGTGTGTGTCTGTGTGTCTGTGTGTCTGTGTGTCTGTGTGTCTGTGTGCCTGTGTGTCTGTGTGTCTGCGTGTCTGCGTGTCTGTGTGTCTGTGTGTCGGTGTGTCTGTGTGTCTGTGTGTCTGTGTGTCTGTGTGTCTGCATGTCTGCGTGTCTGTGTGTCTGTGTGTCTGTGTCTGTCTGTCTGTCTGTCTGTCTGTCTGTCTGTCTGTCTGTCTGTCTGTCTGTCTGTCTGTCTGTCTGTCTGTCTGTCTGTCTGTCTGTCTGTCTGTCTGTCTGTCTGTCTGTCTGTCTGTCTGTCTGTCTGTCTGTCTGTCTGTGTGGGTGTTGTGTGGTGTCTGCGTGTGCGTGCAGTGCGTGTGTGGTGCGTGTGCGTGCGTGCGTGGGTGTGGAGTGCGTGCGTGCGTGCGTGCGTGCGTGCGTGCGTGCGTGCGTGCGTGCGTGCGTGCGTGCGTGCGTGCGTGCGTGCGTGCGTGCGTGCGTGCGTGCGTGCGTGCGTGCGTGTGTGTGTGTGTGTGTGTGCGCATGCGTTGGTGCGTGGGTGCGTGGGTGCGTGGGCGTGTGTGTGTGTGTGTGTGTGTGTGTGTGTGTGAGTGGGGGTGCGCGGAGTAGCTGATCAACCCAGGAGCCACTTTCTTTTGCCTGGGGACCGAGCTCTCCATTCTACTCGGTCCAAGAAAGTTACGCATCAGATAGGGAAGCATCCACTGGCCGTGGATGTGCGCCTGCAGAAGTCGTGCAACTTCCTTTTGGCCCCCTTGGTTGTCTCAATGTGTGTGCTTCAATTGAATCTAGAGGGAAGCCAGCTGACTTGAGCCTATCAGAAGATGCAGCTGACTCGAATCAAGCCGGCTCGGATCAAACCCACTCGAACTTCAGATTACTCCCGCTTGGGAGTTTAAGTGTGTGTGTGTGTGTGGGTGCGTGCGTGCGTGCGTGCGTGCGTGCGTGCGTGCGTGCGTGCGTGCGTGCGTGCGTGCGTGCGTGCGTGCGTGCGTGCGTGCGTGCGTGCGTGCGTGCGTGCGTGCGTGCGTGCGTGTGTGTGTGTGTGTGTGGGTGTGTGTGGGTGTGTGTGCGTGTGCTTGTGTGAACCTTGGATCAACCTTCGGTCATACCATCATCCAAGACAGTTCTTTCCTGAGTTTCGGCAACCCCGCGTTTGCAAAAGTGTACCGGGAGGCCCTGACGAGATTGCTGAAGACAAAGGTGACGACGACGAGGAAAGCGTGAGGCACCGTCATGATGGCTTGGGACAGGTTAGTTCCTTGTTTAAGGTCACAAATTCGTACCGTTACACGTGTTGGTTGCATATCATGCAAACAACTAACCTTACCTGGCCCAAGGCAACAGCAAGTTGTGAAGGGTTCTTGGAGTCTTCGGTCTTGCTGCCTTGGGGTTTCTACCGGGGTTCTTCTCTTCAAAAATGCTCTGCTTGGAGGTGCAGCGAAAATTCTCTGCCAATGGCCGCGGGCTGATTGTTTCTTGGACATTCATTGCCAGAATGAGAGAAGAGCGCAGGAGGAGCAGCGCTCCTTGTTCCTTCCACTGGATGCAGGACTGGGCATGTTGTTTATTTTTCCTCCGGAAGTGGCATGCGTTCAGCTTTTGCAGCCGTGCCTTTTTTCTCCCCTCCGACGTTTACAACGTGTGCTCAGGGTGCAGTTGTGGTGTTGGTTGCCGTGTCCTTGCTGATCAGGTGAACCGCGGCTCAACATTGCAGGCCGGTGACTGAATTTGGAGGTTTTATGGTTGGCTGGTGACTGCGTTTGGTAGGGGCCTGTGCCAATCTGAAGCGTTTCTGTTAGATCGCTTTCAGCCGAGGCGTCATGAGCCGAGCAATGCGCACCGGATTCGAGGCCTTCCACCTTCATGTGCCAGGCGTTTGCATTCAGTGCGCATTGTCAGACGCCTCGTGGTGGGACGCCCCGCGCAATGACCTGCCACTTCCTTGGCCCATCCGGAGCTCAGTCGGATCATCGAGTCGCATGCATTGACAAGACCGAGAAGCGCCACTTCCTTTCTGCCGAGGGGCTTCTACCTTTTCCCACCAGCTGTCGATGCGCGAGCTTTCTGTTGGAGGCAAACCTTCTTTCTTTAAGCCTGGGCTTTGGATTTTGACCTGCACACAGGTCGCTCAACCGAAGGCGCCTCTTCTGTGTCAGGCAGGGCCTCGGTGATAGCTCGGGCCCCTCCCGGCTTTTCTAAGGCATGGCAATTGGGCCAATGCACACCGGAACTGCTCCAAAGCCCAGGTTTTGGAGAGCTCGCCGAGGCTGCCGCCTTGGGCCCCGGCGTGTGCATGATGCCAAAGGTGGAGTTGCTGCAGAAGGCTGGGGCTGGCTGCCATGCAGAAGAGCTCGAACCCGAAGATTGCTTTGGGAGGAAGGGGAGGGTGTGCGATACGCATATTGCAGAAGAAGACAATTATACTTTACCTTACCTCAATAAACACTTTCCAGCGCACAATGTGCAAAACACGCATTCTTGGACCTGATGCGGTTAAAGAGCTTTGCTCTCCACTTCCTCCTGCGCTAATGAGGGAGGTCCCCGGGGTAGAGCAGAAGGCAAACCTGCAAAAGGTGTCCTGGACAGCGTTATCATTGCCTGTGAGCATCACACAGTCCGGGTTTCGCCTTGACTTCCTCTTGTGGTTTTAGACATCACCTTTTGAGCCAATTTGAAGTGAGTGTGGCAGGTGTTCAACCGCTCTGCAGACGATGCAGAGGCGCACATTTTCGAGATATCGCATGCGCGATTTCCCTTTTGTTTTCCGACAAGTTTTTGCATTGTCTCGCTCAGACCGTTTGGTTGTTCCAGCAATTGGTTAGCCATTGGCCGGAGAAGTTTGTCAATGTCGTGCCCCGTCCAACCTGCCCCATTTCCATGATTTTCTACGCAATCTCTGATTAGATGCGCAGCACTCGGCGAATTCGCGGCAGCCATGCTACATCTGCATAGTTGCGCAAAGGCCATGGTCGCAAGTAATGTGGGGTTATGCTTCCGAACCACCCGTCTAGTTTGTTTTTTTCTCTCCGGGTGGCGGGAGGAAGTGACTGGAAGCCCTAGGTGCACAAGGATCTCCTGGCGCAAATCCTGGTGCTTCTAGGCTGGAGCTTGACACCTTGCGATTAGCAGGTCAGGGTCAATCCGTTTTTTTCAGGCATCCGCCACGTCAACAACGACTGGGTTCAGGACATTTGCAGCGAGCTCACCAAGCCACTTGGGCGGCAAGCAACGGAATTGGTTTGGGTGGGTTTGCAGTCCCTGCTTCGTGACTACTTTGGTTTTGTTTGAAAGGCCCGGCTCCCGCAACGTCTTTTTCTAGTCTTGCGATTGAACACCTACACAGGAAGGTGTGGCCTGCTGAAAATGCAAACGCCGCAGCAGTTTCCACTGCCTTATTCGTTTCCTTCCCAACATGCTTAGGCTGGTCAATTTTTGCCGCAGCTCCGTTGAAGTTTGAGCCCTCAGGTACACCACACTGAACTGGGACGAGTACTCGCAATTCGCGCGGATCTCAGCACTCATGCTGATGAGTGAGGTGACAAGAGGCTTGCTGCGCGGGGCGCTACCAAGGTGAAGTTGTACGTGGAACGGCAGGGTAGGGAATATGAGAAGGCCTTCTATGAGTTTGACAAGGATGGTTCCGGAACGATTGAGGCAGGTGCTCTTTGGCATGACTTGTGGGAACACCGGAATTCCATTGACCCGCATCTCACGGTTTCCACGGTTGCTGTAGCGCAAAGCGGCACCTCGCCAGTGCCACCTCGCCAGCAATCCAGAGGGCTTCGAGCAAAAGCACCGGCTCATGACAAAATTACTTCGGCACCAGGGTTGGACAACTTCAAATCACCAGCCCCTGATCCGACTGGTCCTGCAAAGTTGCCTGGACGCAAAGTGCCTTCAAGCGGCTTGCGCGAGGCCAACGAGCTCCAGGCGCTGCTTACGTCCATCGGCATTACGCCCATGGATCAGGCGAAATGGGTCTCATACTTTTGGTGCAAAGGGCATTATGTACGTGTTCCTTCCAAGCCAGTACACCCCCCCCCCTCAGCAGGCGGCTGTCCGAATTTGGCGAACTTCCCATCGCACTGAAGTGGCCGATGGTCAGCCCACACACTATCTTTGTCGGTCTGCCTCGACTTATTTTGGGTTGTTGCACCGCGCAGCCGAAGGGAAGCCGGGGGCAGACCACGGGTTGGTCAGGTGATTGCGGAGCTGGCGGAGGAGTTCGATGCCGACAACTCGGGGGTGCCGGCCTCGGGAAGGGCCGCATGGGGTGTTTGGGGGAATGACCGCATGAGAAATCCTTTGCTTGGGTGTTAGTAATTAGGATGGCGAGCTTTGAGTCTGAAAGACCTCGAGGATTTGGACCTCGAAGAGTTCTGCAAGGTCCTGGCGGCGATCAACGAGCGGGAAGGTTTTAGCCACTCCGAGTTCGAGCGGGTGTGCCGGGCAGCTTGTGCAGCTAACAGCTGCGGTCCAAGGGAAGGAGCTGTTTGTTGCTGAAGCCAAATGCGGATTCACGCAGCAAGCTGTTTAGACGAAATCAATCCTTACGTTGCAACTGTAACAGCTGCACCTAGCAAGACCCATCGAGGAAGCAGTTGAACTTTGTTTGACTTTGGCAAGTGGACGCAGTCTTTGCAATTTGCCTAGAATACCTCATCACTCGCGAGAAGAGCAGGTACCATGTGCACACGCAAGCACAAGAGCCCAGAATATTTTCCATCAATGCGATGCACCGGCCGAGTGTGGCGCCGTGGTGATGGAAACCGAATGGAAGGCCAAGACTGGCAAGGTCTCCCTGCTGACACGCTCCGGCGCTACCGTCCGCCTGGCCTATCGTGTTAGCAGATCCGTGAAGAAGCTGGTGCCTGGGCGTGGGGTTTCGTGGCTCCTTTGGTGTTCTTGCTTTTCAAGAAAGCTCATGTGAGGGTTCTCAGCTTCGGCCTCTGATGTGAGAACACGCTCAAACTGGGACCCACCCACCCTCAGAAGTTTGAATCTCGGACTCTCTCTGCTGTCCACTTGTTGCTCTCACCCACTCTGCTCCTGCGCTGAAATAACTCCCTGCCCTATACTCTGTGACTCTTTCCCTTTGCACGTTTCGCCGCTCTTCATTTTCGCCGTTCTCCTCACCCTCTCTTTGTGCTTTCTTTTCCTTGCATTTTCCTCTTTCAAGCGCTTCAGCCTTCTGTCAGTTTGCTCTAATTTTGCAAATCTGGGTGTGTTTGTTCTTGCGGGTACAGTCTTGGGGCTTTTGTACAGGGAAAGCAACAATAAAATCACAATTTTTGCAGGATACCAGTCTCGTGTGTTTACTTCGGAGTCCACCAGCTCTGGAGTCAAAGCCAAGGAGCACGAGCTCGCGTCACAGCCGGATTTGGATAAGGAGATTGTGGATAGGCGATGGGATGAGCTGCACAGGAAAAACGCCAAGCTGGTGCACCAGCATATTCTGAAATACCGGGGCTTCCTCACAAAGATTGGTGCCTTGACTGCCTTGGCTCATTTTCCACCTAACTGGCCAGAGCCTTGGAGATGCCAATGGCAGGGCCACCAATGTCCCACTCCTTTCTTTCTCGTGCAAATGCAAACGCATTCTAAGCGAGTTGCCTGCAAACATTTGTCCTGAGCGATAATACCCCGAGGGCATGGGTTCTGAAACACTGTCAGCCTGTGCAAATGGCCTGCCACAGGCTTATCATATTCGACCACAGGCTTCGGCTCAGGGGTGAAACAGTCGTTTGGGCAGAGCTTTCCTGTGGTGGGGCCATCCTTCCGAAAGTCGGACAAAATGTCTCCAGGATCTCAATAGGCCCCCCCATTTTGGACCGCACGCCAATTTGCGCCCCCGTTAAGGTATGTGCATAAAGGGAACGCCCCAAACATGTTGGTGTTCCTTCTTCTTGGCCCCCCTTTAAACCACTGTAACAAAAGGTGCCCTCAAGAAGCACGAAAGTGTTGGCTTGTAGGGGGGGAGCCAAAGGAAACCAACCAGTTTTCAGTTGGAACACCCACCCGTCGCACTTGTGTTCGCGACTGGCCGATCCGAGGCCAGGCCGCCTCCGCCAAGGCGGGCAGCCTGCCAGCGCCCTGGGTGGAAGAGCTGAAGAGCCTCCAAGATGAGCTGCCCATCTCCAACTTCCAGGACACTCGTTTTGCCCGGTTTTTGGCTTTGTTTTGTTTGTTGTGTGTGTGTTCTTTGTGTTTGTTGGAGGGGGGAGGGAAGGGGGGGAAGGGGAGGTCGGAGTTGGGCCTTGATTTAGGAGGTGCCCTGCGAGCCACTTGATTGAGGCGAACCGCATGAAACTCCCCGCCTGCGCAGCTTGATTCACTCTGGTCCCTTGCACCTTGCCGCTGTTTTGTCGTCAGGTTTGCAATTGTTGCCACATGGGTGTTTTTTCAATCTGTGGGGTTTCTTTCGCCCCGCCCCCCCCCGGAACAACTAGCCAGGGGGGTTTTCTTTTCAAGACGCACCACATGGCCCCAGACCACGCGGTTTGCAGGAGGTGCTGCGCACAGTGAAGACCGATTTGGGGCGGCCTTTGGAGGAGGTCTTCAGAGACTTTGGGCCGAAACCCATTGCCTCAGCCAGCGTGGGCCAGGCGGATATTGGGGCAATATGGCGCCTGCCCACACTGGGCAAGCATAGGGGTAGGTGTCAAAGGGGCTGCCAAAGACTTAGTTTCTTCTAAACAAACGACACCTTGATATAAATGACATGCCCCCATATGTACCGGCTGGGACGGCTAGTTCCAGAGGCAACGCCCAAAATATGCACAAGCTTGCCGTATTGAATGTGTATTGGGCCAAGGCCAAGGCCAAGGGTGTGTCATTGCCAAGCAGGTGGAACAAGATGCCTGGCCTGTCTTCAGTGTGTTGCTGCCCGCTAGCTTCAGGCCCATATGGCCTGGCTGCGAAGCACCGGCCAGAAGGCCCGGCGTAAGAAAGCGACACCACGCAAGGGGGAATCTACGGTATGCACACCCGCCGCGCAACTCACAGGCATGCATGCCTGCGCATGGGTGTGCACATTTGTGCGGGAACTCTTTTGGTTGGCGATGCAGGGAAGCCAACCATTTTTGTGGGTCCCTTATTTCAACCCCATGCAGCTAGACAGGTGCATGCAGGCATTGGGGTGAGGCAGCCGTGCCTATGCTTGGGCCTGCTCCTGCTTGGGCTGCTTGGGCCTGCTTGGGCCTGCCCGGCGTGGAAATCTGGTGAGACCTGCCTACCTTTCAACTCAAAATGTGTTCTCGTGTGGGAATCCTTTGGCTGGGGGTTGGATCTTTTGGCGCAGGTTTGCGTTAAAGTGCAGCACCACGGCGTCGGGAGCTTGATGGCAGCTGACTTGAGAACTGTGGAGTTCATTTCCAGTCGCATGGTGAAATACCATCCGAATGCTCCAGATTTTGGAGTGGCTTGGCAGCAGTGGCTCTGTTGACACAGGTTCTGGCATGAGGTTCAAACTCAATGTCCCCTCTTCGAGCTTCTCAGGATTTGCTCCGTGAGTGGCACCGCGCCTCGCGGGAAGAGGTGGACTTCCGCCTGGAAGCAAAGAACGCCTTCAAAGCCCTGCACGCGTTGCGGCGCCACGGCATCGATGTGGCGTGCCCGGAGCCCATCCCGAGCCTTTGCTCGGAGCGGGTGTTGACGATGCTCTTCATCGAGGGCTGGAAGATCACGGACCTGGACCGCATGCCCTACGGCGCCGACCGGGAGAGCATGGCCAAAGACCTGGTCCACGCATTTGCGCTGCTGATCTTCCAGGAGGGCCTCATCCATGGGGACCCCCACCCAGGCGCAAGACTTGACGAAGGTTTACGGGGGGCTGGGCTGTAAAAACATGGCCCAGTGTCTCTGGTGGTAGTTGTTTTGAGACATTGGCTGCCAGGTAATGTATTTGTGGAGCTGGTGCCGAGCGGGACCTCCCAGGCCAAGGTGCGGCCTGTCCTGCTGGACTGGGGTGGCTTGGCACTGCTGGCAACGACCTTTCAGATGTCAAGCCAGTTGGTCGGCTTTGTTGCATGCAGGCGGCTGTTGAAACTTGGATTGCTCTTTTCTTGCCACCCTGGGCTGTGTTGGCTCGCCTGCAAGCGAGGTCCAAAAAGGGCCCTTAATGGAAACTTCAGATGCATCCGGCGGACTGTTCTAGTCAGAGGATTCCCGTTCCTAAATTGGGGAAGTACCCTGAGTAGTCTCAGACCTAGGAGCCAGGTCTCAGAACCCAGGTCCTTCCCAGCTTGGCTTGGCCTTCCTTTTGCAGGGTGAGCTGTTGTGTGGTGGAAAAGCGGTCCTTGTTCGCTTTAAAGCCTCCATTCTGTTCCTGCCTTTGACTTTGTTTGCGGTCCTTGTTCCTTCTGCCGCCTTGGGCCACAGGCATTGTAAAGCACCTGGACGTGGACGAGCGCTTTGCTGCTGCTAAGTGGATCATCGGCACCCTCTCGCAGGACTTCAGACCGTCCTTCCAACAACGAAGGGCCGTTTTGTTGTAACCTGTTTGTTTTGGGAGTGGCAAATGTGATCAGAAGGGTTGCTTTTGCAGGTTCCTTTTGTCCAAGAGAGAGCCTCCCTCATCAAATTTTCAATTTCTCTCGGTGGTGTTCCCAGATGGGGGGGGGAGAGGCGGGGGAGGCGTGTTCGGGGCTAAAAAGCTCCTCTTTGGGCGCCGGCCCCATTTTCCCTTTATCTGAAGTTCTGAGTTCTGAGGACCGGCAGCTCTACATGTCGAGCCTGCTGGACCTGGGCTTCGAGTTCGACGCGGACCCCGACCAGGCGGAGTTCGCCGCCTTCATCGAGGCCTCCCTGGGCCAGCCGCTCGCTTAAGGCTTTGAGGGCGCTTTGTGCGCTTGCTTGGGGCTGGGTTTGTTCGGTTTTCACCGGAAACATCCGTACGTGCTCCCTAAAACCCTGGCAACATGGAGTACAGCCTAAAATGGGTGGGTCGCCTTTCAATTCCCTGCGACCTGCCCTTAGGATATTTGAGAAACCACAAGATAGTTTCGCCGGACTCAGGCAGTTGGCAAAAGGGCCACGTGTCCGCCCAGGTGCGCCTTCATGTTCCGGGACTCCATCCCCTCCAACGCGCAGATGAACTTTTTGCAGCAGATGCAGCAGCACCAGGAGCGCGCCGATAGCCAAGAGGCGCAAGCAGGCGACGGCAAGGACAAAGGCGGGGGCGCCACAAGTTTAAGGGCCATGGTGCGGTCCTTTATCCTTATGCCAGACGGTAGTTGGTTTCCCGTTGTTGTAGTGGTGGGTTTCCCTTGTTGTAGTGGTGTCCTACGAACTGCACATTAGGATGAGGGATCCCCCCAAATTTGGACCCCACCAACTCGGGTTTGGAGGGACTCATCTTTGCCTGTTGCCACTTGGGTTTTGGCCGTTTTCTCGTTTGGGCGGGGAGGAATTTGGCACGATGAGAGTCAGGCCGGTTCATTGGCAAGATCCCTGGGGTGGTGCTCTTCTTCCTGCGGGGCCTGGAAATGCTCCAAAACATCTGCGGGATGCTGGAGGCCCCTGGAGCATGTGTGCTTCCGCGGTTTGCAGCAGAAGGCCTCACCCCAGCTTGCCTTTGCTGCTTTTTAGTCCTTTAATGGGGGGCATGGAGTTCTGTGATGCGTGGGCTTGCCAGTTCTTACGCCATCGCAGGTATGCATTTGCAGTTCCTTGAAGTGGCTAAACTCCCGATCTCATCCCTCCGTCGAGCGGTGTCAGGTCACAGTGCCTTTTGCCTCCATCATGCTGGAGAGCTGTATGCCCCTGCTGCTCAGCAGGGTGGCTTGGGATCCAGCCACCGCCCTACCAGCTCCGCCAGGCGGGAGGGGCGGGCAGGTTCTCCCGGGCTACTTGGTTTGGGGAGGATGAGGTTGAGATTTGGACTGGATGGATGAGGCAGCGGGCGACAGATCTACCCATGGCGCCTCTGAGTCATTGCCTCCCCTCCCCTTTTCGCCGCGCGCAGATTGCGAGGCCGCACCGTACTGGAGCAGCAGGTGAGGGCGAGACTCCACGAGCTGGACAGCCGCGGGCTGGTGCTGGGCGCGCAGGCCGGCTGTTGCGTCAGTTGGGCAGCCGGTGCCTAAAGCCTGCGAGTCAAGACGCGAGTTGCAGATAGTTCGCTAGGACCTTGGAAATCCGCCCAGTGTTTTGGCTTTGGGATGATTTTGGGCATGATGCCAGTGGGCCGGTTTCACAGCCTGCGGGGAATGGAAGATATGACTTCTCTAACGAAAAGATGTGTGCTTTCTTGGTTGGCCTCCAGCCATGCAAGGACTGGAGCAAATTGACCGGTAGTTCACGGACCTTCTTGGAAGCCCATGATCTGTGAAATGCATGGTTTGTGGGATCCGTTTTTTCCATGTGTGGAGCCCACTTCTCCAGTTTGGTGCAGGTCATTCTGTCAGTTGATGAAACTTCGTGGTATATCCGCTGCTATCCTCTTGCTGAGGTGGCTGTATTGGACAAGCGCTTGGGCTCTCGGGGCGAGTTCGTGTGCAATGTGGCCTGTGGTCGCGTGGGAGTTTGTTATGGCACGGCGCTCTCTGACACAACAGCAGCTCGGCGAGGAAAGCACGCTGGTTCAACGAAGCGCGAAGCTGACTTTTTCCGGGCGAAGCATTTTTCAAGTCACATCCGGCAAGCAAGGATTCACACGGAAGGACTGCTGGGCATATTGATGTGGTGACTGTGCCTCTTGTCAGTCTCTCATGTAGCCGTTGTGCGTGACATCAGCTGGCAATGCCGTTCCTTATGAATGTGCCGAGGTCCTTTTTTCCTTCTTCCCATTCGGAGAACCCTAAACATGTTCTAATTGGAAACGCTGCGCGCTGCCCGTCTCGGCGAGGCTCACAAGAACACAGGAGCGATGCGGGCTTGAGCAAATTGTTCCGGGGCTTGGCTGAGAAGTCTGGCGGGCTGAGCGCAAAGTATCGCCAGAAACTTGAACTGGAACGGCCTGCGGCCAACGTGTCTGAAATGAGCTGCTTTGGGCATGACCCTCTGGATTTCTCTGCCATGGGCTTCGCTCAGTCCCCATGTCGCCTGAGGTGATGCCACTTCTGGGGCTCAGCGCCTGCCCGCTTCTGCTGGCACTCCTGCGGGGGTTGTCGCAGACCACGGCCACAGGCCGGGATGGAGTGGCACATGTGGGACGGAGGTTTGGCGGTTTGGCTCTTGGGGTCTTCCGAAACCTGACGCACTTGGGCAGGAAAGGCATTTGTTTCGTGGCTGTCAGGCAAGCAAGTGTCCTTGAGCACGCCGGTGTCGGAGATTTGGCCGGAGTTTTCGCAGCGTGGGAAGAGCGCCACCATCAGTGACGTGCTGCAGCACCAGGCAGATCACTTCTCGCAGGGTGGCTTCCTTTTGGCGGGCTTCTGACTCGTTCAAAACTATTTGTTAAAGATAGCCTGCAAGCACATATGGAAGTGCATGGGCAAATCTTGAAAGATTTCCTTTGTTCTTTTGCACAATTTGGAGGAGACGGAGCATGTGGTGTGCACCCTTCGAAACAAACAGTGGGCAGTATTGCCTATTGCCACTGGTGCAAAGTGGGGGGCAAGCAAAAGAATCAGCCCAGTGAAGACGCGTTGTCAGTTGCTCTCATGTTAGGTTCCCATTTCCGATTCGCCAAGAGACATTTTGCTGGGGCATAGGCCTTGTGGAATAAGATGCAAGATGCGCAGCCTGCGCTGCGCCAGGCTGGGGTAGCAAAGCCCTTTCCCAGCAGCTCGGTCTGCAGGAAGAACTCATGTGGGCAGCAGGTTGGTGTGTTCTTTGGGCCCACTAGACCAGCTCTGCTTCACCACGCTGCGCTGATAGGTCCAGAGTGGACATATCAAGATAGGAACCACAAATATGTTTTCCCTCTGGCCTGACTTTCAAAGAGGACCTCTAAGTCCAGGATCCTGCGCATCTTGCGGCCTCCTTTGCACTTCAGAGGGCCCGCATTTGGCTTCGCCGAGGCGACTTGTCCATGAAGGCCTTCTGCAATGAGACGCGCTTGGAAGACAGCATCGCCTCGGCGCCGCGCGTCCTGGAGGAAGCCGACCTGTGCCCAGCAGCTTGGCACGCCCGGATGTATGCCCGGATCTATCCGGGAAATAAGCGCCAGGGTGCACGTGGGCGCTTGGGGAAGGCGCATCAATCATAAATTTCAGGGGCCGCCTGTGCTCGAAGGCGTTTCTGGCATCGGGTTAGGGTGAAGCACCTTTGTTCGTTGTTTGACTCACACGTCAATCGTGCGTTTGGGCAGGGAAGAACCTAGCGGCATGCTGAGTGCCAGGTGTGGGGAGATTTGCTGGCCACGCTGCTGAAGCGCATGGTGGGCCGCAAGAGCACCCAAGAGGCCTTGGCGCAACTTCTGGAGTCGCCCGGCAAAAGCAGGAGGGAAACGTTAGCTTGGTGCGCCGGAAAATGTTCGGGTTTTCGCTAGAGCCGCTAGGGACGGGGCCAACAGGGTTGACCTGACCCCTTTACATGGCCTTGACTTCTTGACATGCTACCGAGCTGGGGCACTTCATGGTATGCGTGAGCACTTGGGGCCGGCCTCTTGCTATGTGTTGAAGCGCTCGAACCTTGACCCTCAACCAACAGCTCATTGACTTGACCCCGTTTTCAGCGCACCTCAGGCCCGTGGGCGGGGTTACCTACCGGGCCGCAACATCGACCCACACCGCGCAAGCTGGGAGACTGCCGCAGGAAGTGGGCGAGAGAGCGTCTGTGGGGGGGGGGCAACTGTTCGGAGTCTTGGGCAAGTAAGTCAGAGAAGCGAACGCCACCAAAACATGTTGTTGTAAGTCAAATCATGTGGAGGCAATGGAGGTTAATAGCCGTGAAGGGTTTGATTCCTGGCACCCACAAAGATGACCGGATCTTTTGGTAGCGGGCTTTGCCCCAAAGAGCCGGGCGATGGGGGATGTTGGGGCAGAAGCTGGGAACGCTGACACGGCGCCACCAATTGGGCGGGCTTTGGAGCTTTGCTTGGGAGGAGCGCGTCACCATGCAGCAGATCTACGAATGGTTGGAGGAGAAGGTTGAAAGCGAACTGGGCAGCAATTCAACGATGAGAAGCTTCTGGTTTGTATTGTCGGTGTTGGCTTGGCGGGAGGGAATCAGAGACAGAGCAAAGCCGATCACCCAACTCACGCGTCCTATCACTCAAATGGCTGACTTTGTGCATTTTCTTTGCCCCCCCCCCACCCCACCGCAGCAGAGACTTGACCTTGGTGAGACGTCAGCACAAAGCAGATTCGAATACTACGACCTTTCCCCAACCAACAAACACAACACACTTTCTTAGTTTGAGGTCTGGATGTGATGACTGCCCGTGGTGGCGCCTCGACTCGCCGGCGCTGGCTCTCATGGACAGAGTTGGCGGCTGCCAGTCCAGAAGGGAAATGAGGGGCCGCTTTTTCTGCTTTGGAAGCTTCATGCCTCTTGGACATCCAGCTGCCGAGCGACAACATGTCTTCATGCCCCTCTCCCTGGTTTTTGCCCGTGAGGCTGAGAAGCCTTGGCTGGCGGACCCGCTCCTGGTGAACCGCGAGGCCTCAGGTTCTGCTTGCGGGGTGAGCTCTTTGGACGGCCGCCCCATGTGCAACAGCCAAGCTGGGCAGAAGGTTAGGAGACAGTCCCACACACGAATAGGTGCGGGGATTAGAAAAATGTGCTTTTGATTCTTTGCCAGGGGCTTGGCTTTGATTCTGCATGTCGGTTGACCCCTTTTTTCTCTATCTGTGCCAGTACGTGCACAGGCGCTGCTCACAGGCCAGGGCTGTATGGCGGGCCGGGGGCTCCGCGCCTCTGCAAAGACGCTCTGCCGGCTGCGGCTCGGCTTCTGCGGGTGGGGGCGGGGAGGGGGGGGTTCTGGTCGGCTTGGGGTCGTTTGCAAAATAGGGTTGTTGGATGTGGGGTTTGCTTGGCTGGTTGCCATTGAAAGGAGCCCCTTATTTCACACACACACACACACATTATCACCTGGCAAACTGGGACAGCCGTTGTGGGCATGCGTAGTACTATGGCTCAAAGACTCAGCTTTGTCTCAAACCCACTTGATGAGTCACTCCTTCCCTTCAAAGCTTTTAACTGCTTGACACCAGGTTTGCGGGTGATTTGGTCCCTGCGGAGATTCTTGCAGAGAGCCTTGAGCCTGGAAAGAAGATCCAGTTCCAGACGCTGCCGCTTAGCCAAAAATCGATCTAAGTCTTTGTCCGCGCATTTTCTCGCGCCAATGTCTGTGGCACCTGGCTGGGCAGGACTAGATTCGCCGGTCGCGCATCTTGTGTTCACCAGCCGGCCGTTTGGCAGCAGAATGCCGCGCCCAGGCAGCAGTGGTGGAACTCCCTCGGGGCACCCCAGCGGGCGCTGGGCGGCTGGCAGCATTTTCCCTTCAAGAAGGAGGACTCAGAAGTGCAAGGCTATGGCTTTACAGATGGCACCACAGGACGGGGCCTCAAAATCATTGCTCTTTCAAACGCAGCAACTGCAGACGGTCCAATTTTGCAACTCGCGCGTCACCAACATGGTTTGTTCAATCCGATTTGAGGAGCACTTCATCCTTGCCCACAAACGAAGGTCCTCTGGAAAGGGGGCATCATTCACGCCTTCCGTGTTGCAAGTGCCAAACTTTTCTGGCCCAAAGCACTTGAGCATCCATGAAAGGCATCCTCAAACTTAACTTTCAACTGGCGTTTCTCCTGCGGTTTTCCAAGTTTGGAGCGTCCTCAAGCGGGGGGGGGTTCATGGAGTAATTCGAAGGTTTCAAAAAGCATATTTTTGGTTGGGTCAAGGGAGGAGTTGCTTGCACTTTCGTGTTCCTTTCAAAGGGGTTCCCTCAAAAATCGGGTTCCGCCTATGGACCCAACTCTGCCTTCCCCCAGGCTCTCTGGTGCTCAACTTGCCCGACGTCTCCGTGGCAGTGCTGCTCTCTTCCTGCCACCCGGGCACGCGCTGCGGGGGTCGCCAGGTGCTGGACGCCATTTGCGAGGAACTGGGCCTGGAGGCGGAATACATATGAATGCAAGGGCCTGAAAAGAAAAACATGCTGTTTGGCTTCCAATGGCAACTAAAATAATGAGGATTAGATAAGTGAACAAATAAATACACTAAGAAAGAAAGAAAGGAAGGAAGAAAGAAAGAAAGAAAGAAGGAAAGAAAGAAAGAAAGAAATAATCAAAAAAAGAAAGAAATAAAGAAAAAGAAAGAAATAATCAAAGACAGAAATAAATAAAGAAAGAAAGAAAGAAAGAAAGAAAGAAAGAAAGAAAGGAAGGAAGGAAGGAAGGAAGAAAGAAAGAAAGAAAGAAGGAAAGAAAGAAAGAAAGAAAGAAAGAAAAAGGAAAGAATCAAAGACAGAAAGAAAGAAAGAAAAAAAGAAAGAAAAAGGAAATAATCAAAGACAGAAAGAAAGAAAGAAAGAAAGAAAGAAAGAAATAAAGAAAGAAATAAAGAAATAAAGAAAGAATCAAAGACAGAAAGAAATATATAAAGAAATAAATAAATAAAGAAAGACATAAATAAAGAAAGAAAGAAAGACATATTCAAAGACAGAAAGAACGAAAGAAATATATAAAGAAAGAAATAAAGAAATAAAAAGAATAGAATAGAATAACATATAATGGAATAGAATAGAATAGATTAAATTAACTGAAGTAAAAAGGACAACAAAGCAACAAAAAACACGCGAACCCACGCGCCAAACAAAAAAACAACAACAAAAACGCTGGCCGCCGGCCTATCCGACTCCATCTAATCCATTTCAATCGAGTGCAATAGATGTATGTCTATTTGTCTATCAAAGGTATGCCCTTTGCGTTGCATGGGGCAGCAAGACTGCCTAGCTATCTATCCATCCATCCATCCATCCTTCCTTCCATCGGTCTGTCTGTTTGTCTGTCTGTCGGTCGGTCGGTCTGCCTGCCTGCCTGTCTGCCTGCCTGCCTGCCTGCCTGGCTGCCTGCCTGCCTCTCTATGTTTCCTTTTATGAAGAGTCCTTGTGTCGGGCCGAAGCGCCTGCGCGTTGCGAGAGTGGGGCGGCTTTGGGGTTTACGACACCAATGCATCAGTTGGAGGCACCAACCCAACCTATGTGTGCTTTCTTGTCACGTCAGCAAGGGCAACTAATCTCGGCACGCCATTCCACATGAACATTTACCCAAGCGTTGCTGTGGGCCCCCGCCGCCGCCTGAACAAAGGGTCGCTTTCGCGTTCAGGCGGCCTGGCCGGCAGAGCCCCAGCCTCTGCCGAAGCGAGAGGATGGCGGCGCTGCTGCCGTCCCTGGCGCTGCCCCTGGTGCCCCCGGAGCCCCTGGTGCCCCTGGTGCCACCGCCGTTGGGGGTGGAAGGCCGGGACTGGGAAGATCGACGTCGATTTGACTTGTTGGATTCTGTCCGAAACGGAAAGCCCATTTCTTGCCGTGAAGCGCAGAAACATGTAGCTCAGTGTGCGTGTATATGTGTGTGTGTGCGCGCAAAGTGTATGCTGTCATTTGTTTGTTTTGCATTCCTGCAGGCAATTCGTGGCTTAGTTAGTTTGAAACTCCCTATGCCCCGCTTGCGTTTGCTGCCGCACGGCGCGCGGAGCAGCACCAATGGATTCACTATGCTTTGCCAATGCTCGTCAATATTGGCGTTGCCATTTTCGCCGGCAAGCTTCTATAAACAACCCCAGTTTCGTTCTTTTGAATGATCCTCGTCCCCTGCAAGCATTTCATGTTTCATGCCATCCCCATTGGTGTCAGTCGCGCGACATGCCATGGTGGCCTGTCCGCGCAGGAGGGCCGACGATCTCCAGCAAGAGCTTTCGAAGGCCTGGCCTGAACGGTTTAGCACGTCACGTGGGACGTGGTTCTGGATCAGGTCGAGACCCAAGTGGCGAAGTTGTCGGAGGTGCTGGATTTGGTGCTGCCTGGTGCGAGCGCTGCAATACGCGGCGGACGCGGCGTTCCTTGGCGAAAGGGCAGCTAGGGTCAAATTTGCAGCGAGCGAATCGCGAAGGCTCAGCCCGCCCCCAGTCTGGCCGGCTTTTGGCTCAGTGCCGAGCTTAGTTCCGGTAGGGTGATGAAAGCTCCAGATGCCGCTGCCAGCAAATGTGTATTTTTTGGCGCGCAAATGGGTTTGAGGTGCTGAGACCGATGGTTTGGAGTCCTTGCTGGAGGCCCTTCAGGCCATGAGGGGGAATGTGGGTTGCCATGGCGTGTCCTTCAGTTTAGCTTGTGTTCGCATCGGCGAGGTGCCCGCTATGATGCGCTCCATGGCGTCGGCAGCGAGGCGCACTCTGCGAATCGTGCCTGGTATGCATGCAGGTATGGGGGCAGGCTGATGGTCAATGTAGCCAACTGGTTTCCGAGTCGCGGCAGGTGTTGCTTGGCAAAGCCCGGTCATTTGGGGCTGGCGGGGGAGTCCTCAGCCTCTTGTTGGCGTCCCACTTTGTTGTCCTGTCCCACAGGCGCAGCCTTTTCAGCGGGGGCGGGGGAAGGGTGTTGCAGCTGATTTGCCTGAGGATGTGGAAGGTGCGGAAGTGCAGATTGTGTCCACAACCTCGGTGCTGAGCCGACAGCTCGAGGCCTGTGATTGAAGGAAGGTTTCGCATTGGTCACACAAGCCAAGCCAGTTGGCCCAAGCATCGTGATTCGATGAAGCAGCAAGAAACCTCTGCCCTTCCTAGCATCTCGTGCACCATCTTATTTTCTGTTCTTTCTTTTTTTGGGGGGCTTTTGTTCAGGTGTTTTTTTTTTTTTTTTGGTGGCAAGTGGGATAATCCTGCCAACCGTTTGAAGTCCCTTGTGGGGCAAACCTCGTTGGCCAGGAGACGCGCACCAGATTCATGGTGGGCTCTTCGTTCACCGGCCAGCAAGCGCTGGGCGGGGAGTACTCCGCCACTGCACGCTGGAAGGAGGACGGCGTTTGTTTCTTTGGGGTTGGAGTCGTGGTTTTCATAATGCATTTGCACCCCCCCCCCCCCAAAGGCTGGTCCTGGGTAACCCGCGTTGGGGAGGAAAAGCAAGGTGGAGTCTCTTGCAGTAAAGCAGCACGAGCTAGAGATTCCTTGCAACCTCGTCGCCGAGAGCGAGGTCCTGCAACATGCCTCGCTTTTCTCCAGCCTTACTTCGGACTTCGCGTATCTCTGTATTCTCCCTACTTTCCCCCCGCCTGGTTTGTGCAGTGCGTCTCTCCGCGCCTTCGTCTCACAGAGGCACCCATTTTTCTTGACACCTACGACAAGCATAACCTCTGTTTCGGGAGAGCAGTCAGGAGAAAGACGCTTCTCAGCCCGGGCCTGCAGCCTTGCGCCTGGTGAAGCAGTTTGCGGCTGAAGGCCGGAGTCTGACGCCCAGAAAAACCCGCTACTTCTTCTTTTGGGGGACCTGTGTTTGGCTTCCATGTCAATCTGTGGGGGAGTACCTTTTAGTTGTTTTCTTTTTGGCACGTTGGCCAACTTGACGGCGGGTGAGGGCAACCCAATGAAAACGTGCAGGAGGCACGTTACATTTTGCGGCCGAAGGCGCGGGGAAGCACAAGCTGGGCCTCGCCGACCATTCGCTTTCCGGAGCTTTGCAGGCATCCAGCTGGACGAGCTCTTCGAAATTCAGGCGGATGGGCGCCTGGCTTTGACCTCGACCCTGAGCAGCGCCGAGCACCAGTCAGGGCCTCGGAGGGTTGCCAGTGCCTGGTGGCTCGCAGTGCTTCCGCGCAGACGGGCTGAGCAGATGTGACGCTTGAGGGAAAGGGAGGCGCGCCCGAAATTGGCAGGCAAGAAGCAAGCAACGCGCAGCTCCTGCGCAGCGAAAAGCTGCAGCTCTATCTGATTTCGTGAACGCTCAGGTTCGGAGAGCGCAAGGTGGAGGTGCACCGAGCTGAAGAGCTGGAAGCGCTGTGCAAAGCTTTGGATCCCAAGGATGCGGAGTGATGGAACACCCAAGTGTTTTGCAAGGAATGTCTCCCAAAGCAAGCAGAGCAACATCTTCTTGAGTTTTTCTTTTGGTGGGTCCGCACTTGCTGCAAACAACCTTAGTCAGGGTCTTTTTTTGAACTTTCCACTGAGGCTGCATCATGTTTTGCCTCCTTTCGATTGCTGTGGGTCCATTCGCGTGACATCCTGAAAGTTACTCTCCACACGGTCCCCCCCCCCCCCCGGCGCAAAAAAAGAAGACAAGTAATTTTGAGAACCCCTCAAAGTGCCTTGGCGGCTTTTTGAGACTTTGCTTCCAAGACACACGCGGGAAGGTTTACCAGCGCAAGGACCTGACCCTTGGCCGGCAGCTGGCGCTGCCCGGCAGCATCCGCCCCCTGCCCGGCGGCTGCCGCCTGGTGGGGCTGGGCCCCCCCAGTGCCATGGAGGCAGAGCAGGCGACAGGGAGCCGCCTTGGGGTGGGACGGATATTGACTGACCCCTGGGCGCTGGATATTTCAGTGGTTCTATGGCTGCTTCCTATAAGGGGCCCTATGCCGTCGAAGAAACACTATATATGTATATATATATATACATATAGCTATAGAAGTATATTTATTTGGTAAAGGATGGCTGATGCAGATCCGCACAACTGCACCCCTCGCAAGTTGCTTCGGCTTTCAAGGGTTGCTGGCCCAAGCTTGTTTTCGAGCCGGAGAGGTTTGCTTGTTGAGCACTTTGCACGGGCCATGCAGGATGTTTCTGACATGGCAGACCTGGAGCAGCTTGAGCTGCCTGTCGCCACATTCTTCATCGTGGAGACCATCAGGCGGAAGAAAGGGGGGGGAAGTCGGCTTTTGTTGTTGGCGTATTTTGCGAGGACCTCAGAGCGGGCAAACGCCCAAAGCTAGGGTTGGGTGGGATCCAAGACGTTGGCTGCAAGTCCTTTGGCGGCATGTATTCGAGAAGCGCGTTATATAATCCCCATTTCCACCCCGAACTTTTGAACGCCCCCGAACAAGAAACACAAAAGCAAGTGTGCTTCTTGCTTTGTCCCCCCGCAAAAAGGGTGCCCTCAAAAACAGACACCCCCATTCCAAGAAGTGGATCCAGCTTGCACCAAAGGAATGCGTGCATCCGCGGCCGAGGAGCACCACGTACTTCTGCCGGGAGGGGGCCTCGGAGGGCCTGGGCGCGGCGCCCGTGGAGCTGTTGGAGTCCTTGCCCCCGGAGATCCGAGCCGCCCTGGAGCGCCAGGCAGAGAGACGGGACAGGGAGAAATTTGGGGTGGATGCTTCCCTGCCATTGTGTGTGTGTGTGTGTGTGTGTTGTGGAACTTGTGCGCAAGAGAAAGGCATACAATCTTTCGAAGCCTGGTCCTCTGACCACATTCAAGCAGAGCATGCAGTTTCATGTCTAGGCAGAACAGTCGCCCTCTCCAACCTCAGCTTCGCCTGCGATTGTTGAGCGAGGCGCGGGTCAGCTAGGTGGGTTTGCCTTGCTGATTTGCGCCAGAGAAGCATTGACTCGCAGGCACTTGTCAACTTGTGGGGTCAGTTGGCCTTTCTCCAAGTCCTTCTTGGGGGCGAATGGCGCTGACTAGGCCCCAAGCCCCAGACCTTAGCAGGCAGGTGTCGTGGCCCAGGATTGTTGGCGCGCGGCGTGGCCAGCCTCGGCTCCCTGTGCCTGATGGGCTGTGGTGCTGCTGGGCTCGCCGTGTGCGCAGCTGCTGGGCAGGCGGGGTTTCCAGGGGACAGAGCCGTGCTCCCAGTTGAAATATGGGTGTGATGCTCGACTTGTAATGAGCAGAAGCAAGTCCTGTAGTGTTGAAGCTTCAAGTCCTCTTGTGGAGGCAGCGAGGCTCAGCGGCCATGGTACGCTCCACCTCTGCCAGAACCTTTGCACAGAACCTTGGCGTCCCTTCCTGTCAGTTGCGAGCTTTGACGCTTGCAGATTTGCACCTATCATGTGGAACCCAGCATTTCCAACAGCAACAAATCATAACTCTCGTGACGGTCTGCACGGCAAAGCCTTAAAGCCCATAGGGCCTCCTGCTGTTCTGTGTCTTAGGACTGTTCCGCTCCGAGCTTGCATGCCTTGGGCGCTTCCCTGGCGGGCTCGAGCCGGGAGGAGTGGGGCGCTCAGCATAGGTGTTCAGCGCCGGGGAGGGCCTTGAACAGACGGCGCTACCGCTCAAGGTGAATGGCCATCCCGCTCAATTTGGGGGGTCCCAGGCTTGTTCTGCTGGCTTCATTCCTGATTTTGAGTTTGTCTGCTTCGGGGGCTGCGCAATTTGGGGTTGCTTATGTTGCCTTACCCCAAATTGGGGGATTCCCAGCAAAACGGAGGGACCTCCACCAAAACAGGGGATCATTTGCCTCGAACAAAAAGTTGTGGTTTTCCCGGGTTGGCTTCCCTTGACGCCCTCAAAGGGGGACCCTCCCCTGTCCGAGGTACCTGGTCTCGGTGGACCGGAGCCAGGGCCAGCGTCTGGGGCTGCGGGTGGAGCGGCTGCAGGTCTTGGAGGTGCCGACGACCCGGTGACTTTTTGTGGGATGGGGAGTGTCCCGCTTAAAGAGGGCGTGCTTTCTCTGGTATTTTGGGTTGGTTGCACCCGTCCCAAGGGAGAGGGTCTCCAAGTACTGTCCAAGAAGCGGTTGTTGGGGGGGAGGGGTGGCGGGTTCTATTTGTGTTGAGTCACCAGTGGCCTGTGCTCAAGCAACCTCCCTGTGGTTTCCCTTGGAAGGGGGCCGCAGCTGCGTGAGCAAGTTTGTCAATCAACCCTGGCTGGAGGTGCTGCCGGGCTTGGTGGCCGAATGGAACTACAGCCACCCCCAGAGCCAGGCCGAGGGCAGAGTGAGGAGAGGGGGCTGATTTGTCGAGTTGTTGGAGTTAGCAGGCTCTGGAGTTTTTTGTTGACAGGTATGTTCTTGTTCAACTCACGGTTCTCAACATGTTGAAGCTTCTCCTGGCCAGCCAGCTCGAATCTGGAGAGCTCGGGATGGGGAGTTTAATCGCATGAATGTTGGGAGGAGGTCAAGACGAGTGCTCAGACCTGATGACAGCAGCTGCGTTCTATCCAATGTGAGGGTGATTTTGGGCTTTCTTCTAAGTCAAGATCAATTGCCTGAGAGGTAGCAACGCAGTGATGCTATGATGGCTTGTAGCGTCCGACATCGCAAGGTACGGCCAGGCGATATGCTGGTGGAGGTCAATGGGCACAGAGGTGATGCTCGCACATTGATGGACACGCAGCTGAGAGTTGGAATCCGCACTGCTTGATGAATAGTCCCCTAAAATGGTTGACTTCCTTTCGCAAGTTACCCAACCACGGGTCCGCCACTTTGAGAAACACCCGACTGCCCACACTTCGGCGCCCGCATCTTCCATCTGGCTCGCTGGATCTTGGAATCGCACCGCGCAGGACATCTGCAAGGAATGCCAGCCCTTGGAGCTGAAGCTGTCACGTGTGGTGCAGGCGAGGTGTAGAGAGGCTGCCAGAGGCCACCTGTCAAGAGAACGGCCATGAATTGAAGGTGGTTCCGATCGGTTCCGGGTTTCCTCTTGTGAGGCTGATGTTCTGTTTTGCCAGGTGAAATCTGGTGGTTGCGCCTTTGCAGGGTTTCTTGTTGGCCACGGTTGGGGCTCTCTGGCTCTCATGCTTGGGGCTGCATGACGAGGGTCATGGGATGCACGATGTTCTGCAGGCCGCTCGCTTCCTTTCTACCAGTGTTGTCTACTTTTCTGGGCGTCTCCTGCACAGGTCAGCACTGATACGGCGGATGCCAAGAATGCTTCAGCAAAGGTGGAAAAGGTGGAGGACAAGAAGGGCGGAACGGATCAGCCTTGTGAGGCAAGCGTTCCACAAATCTGCAGGGTGTAGTTTTGGCATGGCATTGACCAAGGCCCCTGCAGTTTGACACCTGGCTTGTGTCAAAACGAGCTACTGCACTTTTTTGATCGGATTTGAAAGGGGATCAGCACGCAAGCAGCCTCGACTCTCGACATGGCTTTCAGTGTGCCAGGCGGCCGTGCCGCCTTTGCCTCCCCCCTTGGCCACCTGGACAGACGATTCGGCCACTCGGATTGCAAGCGGCCATCCTCCCTGAAACAATCGCGGAAGCCCGGACAGAAAGGGAAATGCATTAGTCCCCGAAGATTGCAAGCAAAGAGCAGCTCATCCACCGACACTTTGCCAAACAGTTTTTTGACCACTCCACTTTTACAGTATTTGGAGAACCTGCAGTGGATGCCAGGAAACACCAAGATGCAAGCCCTCTCAAGGAACGAGACACCACAATGGCCGACATGCCATCATGTGCTGAAGGTTGAATTGAGTTTGGCCCGCGTAGGCCGCGCCTGGCGATGGAAAGGCTCCCGCCCTTCCAGGCGATAAGTTGGCTCTCGATTTGTGTTTTTCAGTTTGCCAGTTTTGGCAGTTCACAAAGTTTATGATGGTTTATGCACGTGTGCGGTCACTTCCTGGAGGCAAGCAGGAAGATCCCGAGCCTTGCCCAAAGAGCACGAAGGCGTCTGGGGCTCCGGTGTTTTGGTCGCTGGAACGTCCGAAGTTGGGCATAGGCAAGACCGTCCGTGGGTTGGTGTCCGCCAGGGCCCAGAGAAACCGATGCTGCCAAAGACCGCGCTGAGCCACGTGGCGCCAGGACTCGGCGCAGTGTGCCCCGTTAATGAGCCCAAACAGGGATCTCCCTTCGCAGCTGTGTCATGTTGGGGTTCCATATGTTAATTTGTGGGGTTCATCCAAAAATCCGGTGATCACACGGGACTCTCTAAATCAGCTGGTAGAAAGGCAGCTTCCTTGCCAAGGCTGAACAAACTATGCTCTTTGCTGTGGCTTGCGTTCCATGGTGTTTGGCAACTTGACGGGCTTGTTTGCAACGTATCTTCGATTGAAATGGTGACGCGTTCTGACTTGGTGGCTGGACTGCGTTCCTGCGGGGTAACTATGCTCGCTACATAAGTAGTGGTGACTTCGACTGTTGATTGTATCTTTTCATGGACCCTGTCAAAGACAATTCGGAATGTGCGCGTGCCAAAATCGGGGTTTTTCAAGTCGCGTGGCTGGAACCGGCATCAAACTGATGAAGGAGGGCAAGCTTTGTGTCAAGCCGTTGAGCGCGGAAGGCCCATGGTTTTTCAAGACAGGTTGGCATCGCAGTGTGGTTTGTTGTGTCGGTTTGGCACTAATTAAAAGGGAATACCCAAGACAGGTTTTTGCCTGTGGGTTTCCCTTTGAAGCAGCCGCACCAACTGCAAAAAGGGCGCGCCGTTTGCACCAGGACCACGACGAGAAGCGCCGAGGCTGCCTGCCAAAGTTGCAGGCACAGGCGGGGCATAGCTCAGCCATGGTGTCACTTCCTGGCGGACTGCTCTTGTCACGTTGGGGATGTATTTGCCGTAGTTTTGTGTTGACACGTGCCACGGTCTTCGGATTCGCATGGATGGGCATAAACTCAACATGGCGCACATGCAGCTCGAGCAGTTTTTGGGCTTCTTCGGGTCCACGTGGCCTGCAAAGGGTGCTGCCGTGCCGAGCTGGCCAATTTTGCACGCGTGCGTTCCCTTCCGTGCAGGAAGAGGCCCTATTTCGGCTGCGGGTCCGGAGCTGGAGGCGCGTTTGTGGCCAGAGCTCGAGAGACGATAGAGCCATTTGTGGCATGTCAGGAGCCCATGGTCGGGACCACTTGCCCGGATTGGCGCAGGCCGCAGCGTCGGAAGCCGTACTGGAGCCGGGCCAGTCGAAATCGCCTGTTGGCCTTGAGAGCTGAGCAGCCCGCCCAAGAGTCCCCACCTTGGTGGGGAGGCACCAAGCCTGGTTGCAAATGAACTATGGTTTGAGGTTTCCCCTGATGCGTGCCATCTTCCCGCCGTAATTTTCAGCTCCGTGGCAGGGCTGGCGTCGTGGACATCATTGCGTTCACTCGGCTGGATGCCAGCAGTCCAGCCTGCTGCTTCTGCCGGTCGCAGCCCCTCTCAAATGCTTTCGAGGCTTGGCTTGCATTGTACCTTTTGCAGTTTACGAGGTGTGCCCATCTTCAAACGGCTTCAATCCTTAGTTTCTCCCCAAAGGCCTCAGTCTGAAGTTCCCCCACGTGTCGCTTTCAGTCCTTTTCACTTCCTCTCCCCTCGCCCCCACCCCCCCGCCCCCCCGCCCTCCCCTTCCGCCAATAAAGTCCTCGGGACTCAGGACTTGGGCTCCGGCGCGCTGTCGCTGGCCGCCCCCTGCAACCGCCGGGCCGGCGGCCGGTTCCGCAACGCCGAGGCCGCGCGCACCCCGATGCGATGTGGATCGGCTTTAGTGGGCGCCTGTGGGTGGGAATTCCTGCGTTCTTAACAGAAGAGATGGGTTTGGCCATGGCTCAAAGAAGGGTTGTCCTTGTACGGCTCCTGTTTGGGATTAAAAGATGGCCGCCTGAAAGCCTGAAAGGTATAGGTTTCCTTCGAGCAGGTCTGCCAAGCTTTTTCCAGAAATGGCAGCAAAGGGTCAACCCTGGTAAAACGCCACGCATTTCGGAAGCAGGATGTATGTTGGATTTGGAATTCGCAAGAGAGGGTTGGCACGTCAAGCAGTTGGACGGGAGAAGTAGCTAGGGCACGCCCAATGTCACAAGTTTTGCCTGGCCGAGCGTTCAGTGGAATCAGGCAGTAAAATTTGACAAGCTGTCCAGGTGTTCCTGCGGGGTCCTTTCATGTGGGTAATTGTTGCAATGTTTCAGCAACGCAGGTCGATCCAAGGTGGACGTAGCTTGTTGGGATTTTGCCAGGCCGCGTACCTCGCAACATGGAATTGGCCACTGGCTGGTCTGTTCCAGGAGCGCGTGCGAAGGTGAACGATCATGGCAGTTAGCCTCTTGAGTGGTCACGCTTGTATACGTTTCATTGCCTGTGGAGGAGCTTAGTGCGAGCGCTGCCCTTCGCAAAGTGCAGCGGTTTGGCAGCCATCGGGACCAGACCCGCAGCTTGGGCCAAATGAGCTGCCCTTGACTTGCGCTGTGTGGCTTCCCTGGCTTGCGAGCTTGCTTGCAGGTGGTGGCTTTGCGGGCGGATGGCAAGCCATGCGAGCCGTACTCACTGCCAAGTTTGTGCAGGGCTCGTCTTGCGCCTCCGTTCTTGTGAAGACGGAGGATGCCTTCTTGCTGGACACAGGCTGGGCGGCCCTTGTCGTATGCACCATGGTTCGGGTTGAGTGGATCTGGTCACGGGCCCCTGGGTAGGAAATTTAGACAATTGCGAGAATGGGCAAGCCAGCAGGTGAGAAGCCGCAGGACGTGGACGCAGAGGACTGGCCATGCCGAATTGGAGGCAATTTCGGCGCCCAGGTTCCTTTTTGTTTTGCTTCAAGTGCTCTGGGGCGGCCCAGGCAAAGCATTGAGGCTCATATGGCCACATCCAAGGCTCAACCCTCACTTTCAGAAGCCGGTCGCACGAGCTCATGAAAGCGAGTCATGTGGACCGAAACATGTCCTGATCCGGATGGCAGGAGGTGGTGAACTGGATCGGTGCATTGCTTTTGCTCCTGCGGGACCAGCTGACTGGGAGCAATGCCTGGGCCGGCTATCTGCGAACCTTCCTGGCGCCTTTGGCCGAAAGCCGAAAGCCTCTCCCAAGGGACGATGGGTCCGCGCCGGGTTGTCCGGCTCGGAGAGGGAACCCCAGGAGCTCATTGTGGCGCAGTGGACAGCTACTAGATATGGGGAGGCAGATCAGGGTGAAGCAGTTTTCTGGGCCTTCCTTGCCCACCAAATCTGTCAGTGGACAACAAGTGGCAAGTGCAAGACTCTCAGGCAGTTTGGCCTGTGTTGCTGTGTGCCTAGGACTTGGACACTGGCAAGATCACTGACAGAAGCCGAGTGGTTGAATGGCAGAAGGCAGTGCAAACTGCGATGGATGCGGTCCAGACGCTAGATGCATTTACAGCAGATCTCGACATTGCAGGAGTCCTTTCCATCCTTTTCTCCCAGCCTGGGTGTTAATGTGAGGTTGTCCTTTGATGACAGCAATGCGCATTCGTCAGCCGGCTGACATCTTGCCAGGGGTCAGTGCCTTCCAAGCTGAGGAGTCAGCCATCCATGCGGAGCGAGATGGATCCAGTCTGAACTTGGCTGGTCTGATGTTGTGTTAATGATGCCAGGCGTTCCCCACTCACTTGCATCAAGTGTTGGGCAGCGCCAGTGTTTCCTTCGCCGTTTTATCGGAGCGAAGCATTCGCGAACGTACAGGGCCAAGTCCACCAAGTGACTGTTTCGAGGCTTTCGTGACACAAGCACGCAAACCGAGGCTTTGACGTGTTCGAATAATTCTTGTGCAAAGGAGGGCCTGCGGGGCCCTTTTCACCCAAAACATGGGCCCACAACACATCTCTTCACTTGATGACGTGCCAGTTGAAGCACATCTTCCACCTGTTCGATGACGGCTCTGCAAACCTCGATACGGATGAACTCTTGGCTGGGGACCCAAATTCCAATTCACTTGATGACCCACAGCCGTTGCGGTGCAGGGCATCCTTGGGTACTTGGGCTACGAGATGAGCCTTGAGGCGCCCACGTGCGTCCGGACAGCAAACGGACGGCACAAACATGTGCTCTTTTGTGTTGGGCATGGGCAGCGTTTGCTTTGGCCAGTTGTGTTTCTGGCAGCGAGGCGTCAAACACAATTTGTTTTCCAGGGAAGGGGGGGGGGGCAGGGCTGGCCACAAATACGCCCAAAGGCCATCGAGCGCGTGTTGTCCCACGTCGACGTCGATGGAAGCGGCACCTTGAGCTTTTCGGAATTTTTGTTTTTCATGAGGCGCGCACCGAAATCGTTGGCAGAATTGATCATGCAGTTCCAATGTGGCAGTGGGGGGTAGGGTGAGTTGTTTTCAGGTTTCGCAAGAGAGAGAGCAGTTCATGCCTGCAGGAAGGTTCGCGAAGACGAAGTGGAACGTTTGGAGGCAGGAACCATGCAAGCAGTGTTGTTCGTTGCAGTTTTGGTGCATTTGGAACAAAACATTGCCCATTCCGCAGGATGAACTGGAAACACTGGATCAATCCAACAAGGAGGACTGAACGAGTCCAGAAATCAATCACGATGGTTTCATGATGTTTCTTGCTTCCAGGAAGTGCTGGCGAGCCTTCTGAGGGCCTTTGGTTATCTGCCAGATCGGGAGGCCAGCAGCCGTTTGGCGTTTGTTAAATGCAGACCTTTTGCCGCTTTCGAAGGCGGTCAAAGATGCCGCCGTTGACAGCCACATCAGCCTGAAACCGCCCCTGCAGCTTGCCACAAACTTGAGGCGGAGTGAATTTTGGTGCAATGAATGGTTTGTTTGGGTTCCATGTATCTAAACGCTCTGTTTTTGATTGGGGGTGTTGTAAAAGGGCATGAAGGCAGGTTGAGACGGCGAGTTCGACAACAAATTGCGACGATGATGGTTGGGGGCGGAAGGGTGTGACGATGATGGTTGATGATGGTTGGGGGCTACGGCGGTGACGAACAGGAGGTGTGACAATGACCGTGTGGGACGACGGACGGGATGCCATGGGTGACATGGGGATGATAACTACAATGCTGGACGCGACAGAAACGGAAGGCCTTGATGACTGACAGGGTGCAACACGGGTGTTTGCGGCTTGTCGACGGTGAACCAATCTCATTTTTGCACACGGGCAGTTGTGTGACATGTTCATTGCGTTGCATTGTCACAACACTTCGGTGCAGTTTAGAACTCCGAACTTGTTAACGAACACTGTGAGCACTGACCGTGGTTTCTTTTCGTATTTTCCCGCAAGTGGAATGTTCTGGCGAAACCCTCCGTGTCAGATTATTTGCTTGCCTGTAGCAAATCTAGTATTGCAGTACCTAATCCAATATTGCCACTACTTATAGTATTGCCAGGACTAAATTGAGCATTGCCAGTACAAATTTTTGGTGAAGATTTGAATTGTTTAAATTCCATACAAAAACATGCATTTTGGATTCTGGGCTTCCAGAAAGGGGGGGTAGCTCTGCGAGTCCATAATCACCCGACGCAGATGCCTGGGTCCCGCGCAAGAATAGGACAGTCGGACAGAGCTTCGTTTGCAGAACCAGGAGCTGAAGAGAAGCACAATGTTGTGTTGTGTCAAATTGGCCTCAACCGTTTATATACGAAAGGTCAGGACGCTTTTTGGAAATGGGACGGTTTGTCAAGTCCCTTTGTCGCCATCCACATCCGAGCTTTCGAACAAATCTAACTTCTTGCCCATCAAACGGAGTCTGCAGCGACAGATTTCTTTAGGCCTCGCATGTTTGCTCATGCTCTGTCACAACCCTTTGTCACCAGATTTGCACTATTTTGAGACACGTAATTTTTGCTTTGGGAAACTGGGTCGACTTGTGTTTCCGCTTTTTCGCGACGGGATGTTCGTCCCGATGCCCTGCTTTGGGCAAGGGCCAACTGCATTGGAGGGACAAGTGGCCGCAACGAAATGAGAGGCCTCATGGAAACCGGACAAACTGGCAGAAACACGCCCGCAAGCGCCCTAGAGACTCGTATCATCACTGACTTTGCGCAGCCTGTGCAACAAGCACTGCCAAAGCAAGTTGTATACACTTTTCCAGCAAAATGCGTGGTTGCGTTGCGTGCATGGGCCTGGACTGCTTGCCAGATGATGCCACGAGCTGCCAGTGCAATCAAGGTATGGCCTCATTTGGCCAAGCATGTGGTGTTTTTCTGTGCTGGCCTGCAGTACTGCTTTTCTTTTCTTTTTTAACCGCAACACTGCTTCTTTCGCCCTTTGTTTTCGCTGACCTTCGCCATTGTTGCCGTTTGTCAGTTCTCGCCGTCAATACTTTAGCTAGTCAGAGTTGCTTGCTATCCCCTTCACTATTGGCAATTGTTCTTCACAATCCTTCGTCGTAGCAGTCCGTCAGCCTTGTGGCTCTGGTTGCTGCTGCCTCGTCGAGTCCGTCGCTTTCGTCGCAATTGCGGGGGGAGTGCATGCCTACGTGGTTTGAACCGGCCTTGTGGTTTCTACTTTGGTTTGCTCACAGCCCTAGTCATATGAGTCAGCCATGCAACCAAAATGAAGATTATTGGTAGGCTGCAATTGGTGATTAAGACAACATCCGTAGATTTCAGGCCTTGCGACAAGAGAAAAAACACTGAGGACGCGGCGGGGGAGCCAGCCGATGATCCGCCAGCACTCCAATGGCCCGAAGTTCTTCCACACTACCACCACCCACAAGGCGTGCGGACGGGAGTGGCGAGTGGCGGTGTGGGAGGCGGGAACACCTGATTAGTTTGGCGTCCGATCTCAAGGTGAAACGAACACGAAAGGATTGCACTTGAAGATTAGTGTCATCATGCGTCTCATTATGGCGAGGACATTTTGCGTTTCAGGGAGTTTGTTTTTTGTCCAATTGAAACCTTGAGACGCCACAATCATCTTGTGTGCACGTTGTATTGCCACATTTACAGCCAGAGGTGCTTCCTTTCCCGCGAATTGTGGCGCAAATAGCTTTTTGTCTACGCTGGCCACCTGCATCTTTCTCAGAGGCAAGCAACATAAATGCCTGTTGCGTTTGCCCCTTCCCCCCACACCGGGTGTATTTTCGGTCAGGGGCAACCATGCGGGTGAGACGACGTGAGTTTGGCCTTGCAACTTGGTACCCCTCACCCCCGAAACATTGAAGTGGACAGGCACAATTCCTGAGAAGAAACAATCTTCGAAAGGGGGTCTGTGCACTTCCGTGTTGGCGGGTGGGCCAGAAGCAGCGGTTCCCAAATCTGAGACTCAGCCACAAGCCGCCGCCAGAAGACGGTGTCCCTCTCGGACGCCTATCGCTTCTTGCAGGCGCGGCACGGGCATGGCCGGCGTTGCAGACTGGTGAGAGCCAACCATGGACACCGGGGTTGGCCCACGATGCCCAGGTTGACTTGCAGGGCGTGTTTCACTTTAGAGGGGGCTCCCGAAGATTTTCTGGGGGAAGATTTTCTGGGGAACACCAAGCTGCACCAAAGTGCTGGCCCAGGTCTACAGACTCCGCGAGGGTTTTACCCGGGCGGAGGCCGCCGAGCTACAGGCAGGGTTCAATTTTAAAGAGGGTCAGGGGTCTGAGGCGGTGCATGAAGTTCGGTCGAAGCATCCAGAAGTCTGTGGTCAATTCGGGAGCAGCATGGCGCTCACTTCCAAACTATCGCGCCAGAACACTTGCTTCGTCGGCAGTTGGGCGACCCGCCGTGAATGCAAGTTCACCACAAATCATATTGTTGAGCTTGTCGAGAGCAAAGCTGCCTGACCTCTCCCCGTTGGAAACGCTGTCACTGAACAGGGGTGCTGGTGTCTTTGCTTGGACAGGCAGCTTGGACGCTGTATTCCTTTGCAGAAATTGAGTGTAGCACTCGGCGTTGCCTGCTTGGGACCTGAGGTTTATGGTCTATTTGGGAGCGACATGGGGGGGCCACATGGAGGGGGGCCCACATTTTGCACAAAGCCTGGGTACTCTCTAGCGTACCTCGCTTCCAGCAGGGTAAGAATTCTTCGATTTGGCTTCCTTTAAAACCCATCCATTTTTGTTTCTCGGAGGCTCCTGTTGCAGTAACCCTCCGCTTTGGCAGGCCTATTTCCAGCGGTTCGCGGCGGCCCACAGCCACCATAGCCAGGGCCACCATAGCCAGGGCCACCATAGCCACGACCACCATGTCCACGACTTGCGCATCAGCGTGGGGCCCCGGGCGTGGGGACCCTCGAACTACCGAACAAGATGGGATGCTGCTCAAGGTGACGGGGTAATTTCTCATTTGAAAGGCTAGTTCGAGGGGGTGGCAACGAGGGCTTGAAGGCTTAATGGGTTTTGATCAGGTTGAGGTTCGTCGTTTTTATTTCTCTCTCACAGAGCGTTTGTTCTGCAAAGCTCCGCGCTTCTTTCGCTATGCATAGTTTGATTGATTGTTGATTGCTTTTTGTAGAGGAACTGGCGATGGAAGCAATGTGTGTTGTTCGCGGGGTGCGCGATGGAAGACGCCACCAACGAACATCAATTAGACAACCGTGATGCTTGGGAGGGTCAGATGAGCTGCACGAGGCTGTAGGCTGCATTGACCAGTGGTGAGTATAGCTGCTATGCGAGTTGAATGTTGGTTCATGAAATGTCAAGTTCTTCCGTTTGTATTGCCAGATATTTCACTCGGACACTGTCATTTTGTTATCTTCTTCAGTTGTCAAAAAACACCGCTTGACTCTCTGACCCTCTGGCCAAAACCAGACATATTGCAAGTGGACAATAATGCGGGTTTCCTGGCGCAATCCCTGATTTCTAGCTGCAATGTGTTCAATGTGTTGACCATCGCTTGGGTTTTGCTGTAGTTTGTTGCGTCCGCTGAATCCATTGTTTGTGTCATATATGGGTGAATGGTGCTGAA